AATAAAAACAAGAATATAATAAGAGAACTCATAACCTGAAGTTAGGGCTGCACGATTATGGCCGAAAATAAAATCCTGATTTTTTTCTCTTAAAACACGATTTTCGACTTCACCAAACTTCACTTAAATAAAAGGTTTTTCTATCATCTCTCAAAATGAAACCACTGAAAACGATTTAGTGCGCATCTGATCGTGGATTCTGTATCTCACTAATTTCAGTTTAGACAGCAGGGAAACAGTCTTCGCATGACTCCTACAATAACTGATCTGGTCACAGAGTCTGAATCGTGCAGCTGTGTTATCAAGCATATCATATACGTGACTTCAAAAAAACCAAAAGATAAGCATCTGTTGCATCTTTGGTTTGAATTTTGTATATTACTTTTCTATTTCTGGATGATTTGGGGGCTAAATGTGAAAATAGAGTGGGGGTAAAATGCATTTTGATAGAACTGGTAATGACCATATTGCCCACTAGGGGAGAATTCTCTTATGTGCGGCTATCTGTAAGTTTGTGTGGCAGGTAGTGAGAAAAGGTTAAAGCTATTTGACGTTAATTTTGCAGAAATTTTTCCTTTTTTTTTTGAAGATATTGAGCTTTTTTCTAAAAGCTTTTTGTGGGGTTGACTGTCCTGGAGATGTCAGGAAAAATCAACTTTACATTCAGTTCACTGAAATTAAAATATTAATTGATGTTTAATGCAACTTGAGTTGAATTTATGGGACAAAGTCAGGTGTCGTCCAAATAAACTCAGTCCAAGTTTACAGAGAATAAGCAGCCTGAGGAGGACTGTAGCGTCGATATAAATATAGTGTAGATATTTCTGCACTGAAATTAGTGACATGAGTTTGGTACATCCTTCAAAAACAGTTAAAAGTGCATTTAAGCTGTAAGAGGAAAGTATCAGGATCATGTTTAACAACAGGACCTGATTTTTGGTTTCCAATGCAAAGACAACAAACCGCATCGAAACAATGTTTGTATTTAAGAATCCTGAACAAACAGAGGATGTCTCATTAAGCCTTTAAGAAAACACAGTTACTGTGATTAGAACAAAACAGAGTGAAAACTGTCCTCTCTCTCTCTCTCTCTCTCTCTCTCTCTCTCTCTCTCTTTTTCCAAACAGCTTCTGTTCAACAACAACCAAACCGAAGCCAAACATTCGTCTTCTGCTCCTGTCCGACTGCACTTTAATTACACAAACCTGCTGCAGCTAAAACACATTTCCAGGAATTCTCCTTCTCTGTAACCCAGTCCCAGCGCTGAGAGTGCTTTAATAATAAAGTCTGATATTTATGGTGCAAATCTGTCTCTGTCCGCTGATCAATAATGTATTATCATACATCAAGTTTTGGAAATGGAGCTGCCCAGAAGTTAATTATCGCAGAGATGGTAGCGAACTCTACCGCAGCAGTCGATTGTTTTTCATTAGAGGAGCTGGAGGATTGATCACAGAAAAAAACATATATATGTTATGATTTGTTATGATGGGAGATGTGAGTGATAGATACGGTCCAGGTACCTGCAGAACAAATGAAAGAGCCGGAGGGCAGCTTCATAAATAACACAGTGGCTTTAATTTGGCTGAGCCGGCCGGGACTGTATGCTAACTGACAGAGGATGATTTCTGAGAGGGGACTGTGCTGAGCTCTCCATCTCTCTGTAGCGTCCTTGAGCAACACAATAAATCCCTGCGAGCTCCAGAGGCAGAGCGCTGCAGCTGACCCTGATCACTCCACTCTCACACCCACCAGTTGGATTCGCCACTCTGGTGATCAAAAGACAATTACTGCGGTTTGGATCAGGTACGACATATTCAGTCACAGACCCCCAAGAACTGCTCTGGTCTTATCTTCAATTTGTGATGCTCACGACTCTGTTAAAATAACTATCCTGCTGTTTTTTAAATCTTTTCTGGATCACACCCAGAACCTTCTCAATGTGCCGTCTCTTCAATTCTCATCTGATGTTGATGCTGAACGAATACCAAAATACTAACCCTAACCCCCAATTTCCCACGCATCCGGAACGGCTACGAAAAGGCCATACCTGACAATCGTAGCTGATCGTAACCATTCGAGTTAACGTGTCAATTTCCACCGGCGTCTTTCTGTTCCACTATCAATCGGCGGACTCCGCAGCCGATCGCAAGAGTTCTATTTTTTCCGGACGCCGGAGCATGGCGGATAAATTCAGCACAGATTAACCCGTGCTGGAAAGGAAGTCGGGCACAGACGCAAAATAAAACATCCGGCTTCTTTTCAAAATAAAATAATGGAAATTCTGAGTAAGGAAGGACCTGGATGTAAAACCAGGGTGGCCGATTCTGCAGAATGACTAGCAGGTAAAAATCGTCCTAAAATGTCTGTGCACCAAATATCACAGCTGATCAAGACGATGTGCGAACGCTGAGAGAGGCCCGCCCACTTGGACTGCACCGTTACTCTTGACTTCATCTCTGCAAACGTGAACATCTGGAAGTTGAAACTTGATCACTAGGAGGATGTTTGGTGGATCACCTGTGCTCCTCATGAAACAGACTGATATGAAACAGACTTTAAATCAGGGATGTCCTGATCCTGATCTCAACAGTAGAGTTGGAGCTGATATTGACTTTTCTTTATAGACTGGTGCTCAGAAATTCAAGACGAGCGTCTCTTATCCCATGTGAGGGAATAAACTGATATTGACGTATATTTTACTGAATAAAATATTGATATAGTGGTAAAAAATAAACATAAAGCAGCTGATCCAGAGGAGATATAAATTCAATGTCCAGTACTTTATCAAAAAAACTATAAAATATGAAATTAGACCAGATCTGTGTTTTCGGCCCAATCCCAAACCGCCCCCTACACACTCCCCTTACACACTCCCCCTCCGTTTGCACGTCCCTACGGACGCTTCGCCATATTGAAGGCCGTCCCAAACCACAGAGTGGACCGTTCACCCCTCAAATAGCGAGTCTGCACCGATGCACATTCACGACGGGATTTGCAGGTAGTGCAAAAGTAGAGCAGGAGGAAACAACATACAAAAATAAGCTCTGTACGTGTCCATCTTTGTCTCACTGACAAAAAAAACTCAAAAAGACGTGGTTTGGAAAGATCGGATGAAATTTGGAAATCTTACTCTGTGCCGAGGTTTGATTTGATTGGTCAGGCACATGGCAAATAGTAAAGGGGTTCAAAGACGTGTGGAATCACTTACTATCAGAAGTAGAACTGTACATGATGCCCGTTTACTTAAACAAGAAACGCTGCCATGCACAAGACGCTTCTTTATGTTGCTATGGCGATGGATCTTTCAGTTCTCCAGTGGAGTGAGGAGGGCGTCCTACACCCGCCTGTCTTGTTTATACCCTCCGATTTCAATTGAGGCGCACTCCACAGCTGCGAGTGAAACTTCATTACGAGTGACACTCGGTAACGAAGGGCGAGTTTGTAGGAGGGCGGTTTGGGATCGGGCCTTCCTGATGCTGATCCGCATCACTAGACTTATTTTTTTCTTTTTGTGTCAAACCTGCTTCACATTTTCAGATCTCTGTTTTTTTTCTCTATCACAGGCAGAATGGTGTGCAGCCTCGGCCTTTGCAGTAACTCCTGATATGACAATAAAGCAGCAACAGAGCTCCTTATTCCCCGGTGAACCAAGCGGCAGAGGAAAAAATCGGTATTTTTCTCTCATTTTGCGCTTCAGGTCTGACCTTCCACTTCAGCAGAGCAGCGACTCTTTCTCAGTCAAAAGTACCGTCTGGTTTTAAGAAAGAAAAGGAAAAGCGGTGTGTAACCCATCTGACAGCCCACATTGACTCACAACACCTAAAAAGCTAATGAATGCCACGACCAGGAATGGTTCTGAGAAGCGAAATATCACTCAGGGTAACATGACAGTCCATTAAGTCGTCGTGTCTCAGCTCTGTTTTGTCTGACCGTCTACGGCCAAGCTAACCTTTTCCTTAATGAACACAGCGCCTGCACACTCGGGCTTTTCTTCATCACTCTGTTCCCTGGAAGAAGAAAAAAAACACTTTTGTCCACATTTTCATGCTGCCAGTTCACGAGGAGGACTTTTATTAAATATTGTGACTCAACCGACATCCTGAGATTTTTTTTTTTTTTCAACATAATCTGAGGAAGCAGACGACTGACCTTCTCCGAATCGCCAAATTTCAACATCAATTTATTTCATGAGCTGGTGGAGTCGGCTTTAATCCAGCCAGTGATGTGATGATGGTGTGTGTGTGTGTGTGTGTGTGTGTGTGTGTGTGTGTGTGTGTGTGTGTGTGTGTGTGTGTGTGTGTGTGTGGAGATCCCCTCACATGCAGCTGTGTTTCAAGGCCGGCTCAAGGTTACCCTCCAGCAGCAGACAGGTAAGCGGCTGCAGGCTGGACTGAATATTCTCCCGGCTAATAGAAATTATAGATCACACCATCCGTATAGATCCTGCATACATTTTCCACTCGAACGGCGTCCTGATGGTGTTGCATTTAAAGATCTGTGAAAGCAGCGGCCATATTTCTGCGCAGAGGTGAAACGTTTATGTTGAGCATTTTTATGGACTGCCCGTTGTTTCTGCTCGAGAGAATCGAGAGTTTTATTGAATCAAGAAATCCATAGAGGAAAAGGTCACTCTCTGCACATTTGGCCGGGGTTAAGATGAAGAGTTTGCATGCTTATGTGCATGGTAACGATCTGTGCAAGCACCCGGAAATGAGAGAGGGCATCAATCTGCGTTATCGTGGGATGTAAATTGAGCAAACAGTCAAGTGGAAGAGGAGAGGATCTGTTTCATATTTGATTTGGAAAAGCAGAGAGACCTTGGGATGATTTATTTGTTGCACTGCGGCAAACAAAGTCGTAAAAACCTACATATGCTTCGCTTAAAATCACTTCTACTGCCTTATTTTTCTAAACAAACAAAGTCGAAACAGAAAAGCCTCTCTGCAGCGCTGTGAGATCATAAATTTAGTGCGTAATTGTGTCCAAATCACTGAATGCAAATTTCCCTTGAGGGGGATTTGTAGCTAACTGTACATATGCTCCACTTTTAGTGTTAACCTCTTTCCATGAAACCCATTCAGCACAAAACAGATAAACACACGGAGAGTTCAATGCACACTTAAATGCATGCACACACGAATGCACACACACACACACACAAACGTCACGCTGCAGAGGCCAGCGCACCCAACTCTACCTCAACTCGACTCAAAATTCTGCTGTTCAAGCAACAAGCTCCTCCCGCCCGAAAGAGAAGCAGAGACGTCAATCACCCTTCAAAGGCCCGTCAATCACTCTGATGGACTGATCGGAATTCCGCGACGCTCTCGGTTTGTGCGTTGGCATTCTTGAAACGCAACGCTGGCTGGTTTGATTAATCATTGCTGCCTGAGCGGTCGATACAAGAGGCTGATTCGGCCCGAGGAGCAGGACGCGTCCACAACCGTGTGCACTTGGAGCTTGTCCCTCAGAAACACAGTCTTATGGTTCTCATGGATGGAGATTTACAGTAAGACAAATATATAAACATTATATCTTATATATCAGAGTCTAAGGTTAACGCCCGCTGAGAGGAAGAGCAGTTGGATTCTTCCAGCTCCTTGTATCCACCTTTACTGAGTTAAGGAGAGAAGTATAGGAAAAGACTTTTCAGACTTTGAGTACACTCATTAACCAACTTCCTCTCTTGTCTCTTAAACTGTACGAGTCTTTAGTGTTGCATTAAAAATAGAAGTATAATTCAGGTTAGATAATGCTCTTCCTTCCCTCCAACACTTTCTCAAACATCCTCAAAGTATTTCCGATCTCAGCGGCACAACAAACAGCAAAGGTAACAGGAAACGTCCTCAAAGGACTCCAGCCCAGTTTTGAGATTTTGATGTATTACTCCATGACCGAGCTGCTGCTGCTTTTGAAGACTCAGAGTGAGAACAGAAGCTTCGGGTATCATTTCATGTTTGGACAGTTTGTTTGTCTTCCACATGCAGCATCTGCTCAGCTCCTCCTCATGTTTGTATTGTGTCTAGAAAGACTCAAAAGGCAACATATGAGTATAAAGAGACCACACACCTGCCAGACTGTTCAGAGAGAAGATTCGTCTGACAGCCAAAGTCCTCCTGAAATCTTCTCTGATAGACACAGTGCAGTTCCTGTAACCTAATCCGATGTAAGACCTGGATCTGTTAGAGTTTGCAGAGCGTGCAGACTAAATATCTTTACCGCTGTTTCTTTTAAAGGACCAACATCTGACAACATTTGACGGACAAAGATCTTGGTGATCTTGCGGGGTCACTGACAGGCCCTCGAAATCTCCTATGAGGAAGCTTCAGACCCTTTTAGAGGTTTTGGGGTGAACACATTAACCAGCATGAGTTGTTTTAGACTTGTTCTGGACATCAGCAGGTCTTTCTGAGTCTTTGATTCTCTGGTACTAAGGTTGTCCCTCAGATAAATCAGATGCAGATCAGACTACCTGACTCTCTTGGATTGATGATTTGAGGGCCAGATTTTTCCACCTTCCTGATCAGAGCTGGCCCAAGGTATAAGCAAACTAAGCATCTGCTCAGGGCCCTGCGGCCAATAGGGGGCTTACTTAGACTTAGTTCCTCCCATTCCTATTGGAACATTGGGCGATGAGTCTCCACCATTTGCTCCGGTCCCCAGCGACCCTTCTTGCTCCATGCCAGCTGACTCCCATCTCGCTCAGGTCTTCCTTGGCTGTTTGTCTCCATGTCTTCTTTGGCCTCCCTCTGTCGCCACACTTGCCGGTCTCTCTCTCTTGGCAGTCAGAGTCCATGTCCGGTCATTCTCTTTCACTCAGAGACGATGTCAGACAAGGGTGCTACACCTGCTCTTCTCATCACCTCTTCATCAGTGATGTGGTCTCTCCATGAGATCTTTAGGATGGATCTGAGGCATCGTCAATGGAAGACATCCAACTTGTTGGTGATGCTGATAGTCTTTGTCCACGTCTCACATGCGTAGGTCACTGTAGGGATGACCACTGACATATAGAGGCATAGCTTTGTGGCCGTGATGATGGATTTCGATGACCAGATGTTCCAGAGTTGTTGGAAGACTCCTGCAGCTTTGCTGATTCTGGTCTGTACGTCTTTCTCCACGTCTCCAGTATTTGAGATGTTGCTTTCGAGGTATGTGAAGTTCTTGATGAACTCTATGTCTTGTTCGCGTATGGTAGGTGGTGGAAGGTGTTGATGTTGTGGGACGGCACCCCAAGAGCAATCAAAAAATATATACATGTATTTTTTTTTTTTTTTTTTGCAGGTATGAGTGATGCTTTCTGTATGACCAAATACATATTATTGTTAAAATAAAATACAGTAAAAACATTTTAGTGCTGCTGTTGATGTAGGTCTATGATTCTTACTGCCAATATGTCAAAGCTCTGCTACAGTTATGTACCTCCTGCTGTGCAATGTGCACTGAGCATCCAAAGAGCAGGTAGTTGTGGGGCAAAACAATGTTGCAAAAAAGGACATATCCTTCAGGAGCAGAGAAAGAAAGAGGAAGAAGAGAAAAAAACACCAAGATGAAGGTCTGTTTGCATTTCAGGGAATGTTAATCAAAGAGATTTGTGAAGGTGTGTGTGAATGAGGCTTGGACCGGCTTTGTTCCTGATAGAAACACAGTTAAAGTTCTTCTCAGTATGTTTTTCACTTCTGTTCGAAAAGTTATCCTGCTTGATTGGAAAATAAAAAAAAACCTTTTGTAAATAGGAGTTCAGGCAAGTGGCAACAAGGGAAATTACCTGACTGTCCTCCCGCTCTCCTGACAGAATTTGCAGATTTAAAGCTGAATACAAGATTAAAGGTTTTGTTGAGATGAATGTCCTGAGGGTCCAATCTCAATCTGAAGTCTCTGCTCTCCTCTGCTGCTTTTTTGATGAATAATAGGAGCGGGGACAGAGGCAGAGGAGAGAGATATGTGTGAGCATTAAATGTGTATTCATCAGGACTGGGCCCGGCCATTGACAGGCTAATCAATGTTTAGTAATAAGGCTGAATGTGGAATGAGGTGTGGGGGGTCTGGGTCGGGACGGAGGGGAAAGAGATATCAATTAAGCAGGGAACTGCAGAGTCTGGGCCCGAGGAGCTGAGACGGCAATATCCAGACTCTGGTTCATTAACTAAACAGTGTGTGCTGAATGCAAAACTCCAGTGGCCACCCTTCACTTCCACCCCCTCCTCTCAACTCCACCACCACCACCAGCCAAGGCACCCATCCCAAATGTAAGCGGCTGCCTTATTCAATGGAAATGAGGGGGTCTCTGCAGCAGGTAGGAAAACGCCTCTGATAGCTCACATAATGAAATACCTCAGAGGGCGTGCGGGGAAATCACATCCACGCATGATGCAATAAAGTGAAATGTGCAGGGCGCCTGCAGGTTGGAAATGCAAAACAAGAGCTAAACACATTAGCAAATTATATTGAGAGATATTTGCATACAATATGCATTCTGTGTAAATTAGCAGAAACAGTGGGTAAAGTAAATAGACTCATTGCCAGCTCACACTTTGTCTCCAGAGTGGAAAACAAGCCAAAGAAATAATTATGTAGTTTTTCACAAAAAGGGAGTACGAGTGGGGGTGCAACTTCCAGCAAAACGCTATATCCTGTTTCTGAAGCTAAAGGGCTCAGCGAGACCTCCACCCAGGCCACAGAGCCGATCACCCACAGTACTCTGACCTGCAGGTGTAGCTACTACATATCGGATCAGTCAGATCAACTATAATGTGAAGTAGATCATGATAAAACATAACAGATCAGCAGTATTTGACCGCCGATCTCGCCTGATTGAGACACTGGGGCCCGGCTATTTTGGTAGGTAATTCTAGTCATTCAGAACTCTTAAGGTCCTTACACACCGGGAACGACGCAAATATATGACGTGAAATTACGAAATATTCAGAGGAGAATTTTGACGCGCTTGACTATACACATAAAGCGCGATGTGACGCGTCCTGGATGGAAGCGAGAAGACTGACCCAACAGCAGACTGAGTGTTTTTCAGTTCTGATTAGACATGGTAGGAGAAAACATACTTTGAATCTTTGCAACTCCTTTAATTCAGGTTTATTGGCAGATTTCTTCAACAGTAGGCTGAAACAGATTCAGTTTCCAACCCGGTAACAGCAGCTAAGCTAAATGGCACCACACAGAAACTGCCCACCTGATTTGTTTATATTCAGCGAACCCATAATGACCAACACTACAAACCAACATGACAACGAATCTGAGTCTATCGAACACAGGCAAACCAATGTGCGCCCTGATTTCTGGTGCTGGCTGCAGTCTTAGCTCATGTTACAACCTTTTACCAAGTTTTACAAAAAACTGGGACTGTGTTTTTTCCACAACCATGATGACAAACAAATAACAGGAATCAGAATCAGAATCCTCCAAAGAGGTAAGAAACTAGTCTGCGTCAGTACGCATTTCTAAAAGTACTTAATGAATAAGGTTCACCAACAACTGAAGCACTAGTGATTTTATTAAACTCCCTAAACTCCACTTAAATCTCCAAGGTCAGCCCCACCCTCTTAAGACGTCGTATTTCTGCAAAAGCAATGATGAAAATTGCTGTACCCCAAAGTCTCCAACCCTGCCCATCAGTTAAAACCATTAAGAATACAAAGAACCTCAATACTTCCTTATGGGGATACAAGTTAATATACTGCTGCAACCACAGATTTGATATAATGAATAATTCACTTGTTGTCTGAAGGTTGTGAGCTCCACAGAGCCCAAACCTGCAGCTGTTATTCCCAATCTCAGGAGAGCAATTTACAGCCCATGAGAGGCCCTGACACCCGACACCTTTTCACTCTTTATTAAATGCATTCACCTTGTTGATGATGCATTAGGAATCCCAAAGTGGCCCACCGCCAAATATCTCCAGAATTCACATTCCTCTCAACAGCTCATCTCATTTATCCACCGAACAGTCTTATAACTGTGGAAACAACTCTTCAAACTGACCCGGTACCGTCTTCTCTGAGCGTGTCAAAAGTACTGAAGTGTTCAAGTGTTGTGTTACTGTTTTAAAGTTGGGTTACAAGTTACTGTTACTGTCATTTTCTAACATTTTGTTTCTTATTTTTCCAATCAGTCGATTCGTTGATAGTCTGTATTTATTTATGATTAAAGATGAATAATTTTCAGCATTTCTAAACCCAATATGAAGCTAAAAACCCACTTTTGTTCCTCGGCTTTTGACCCAGCATGAGACTGCATTTGTTTATTGCTTTTTTATGGTTTTTTAAAAATATTTGAAACAACTATTTATTGTTGTTTTATGTTTTTATGTTCTGAACAGCACTTTGTGTCAGCTTTGTTTGTATTTAAAGTGCTCTATAAATAAAGTTGAGTTGAGTATATGAGACCAAGTTTGCACAGGAAATGGTAGAAACTGAAAAAATTTACCATAATATACTTTTTAGAAGTTTGACTGAGAGAATATTGACTGTTTCTTCACTGAAAAATGACTCAAACCTACGAACACAGCCATGTTTTAGTTATTTATGTGTGAGCCGATGTAAGCCAATCACATATTTTTCTTAATTAGTTCCGGCAACCTCCCTTTTCTCGTCTTTTCTGATTCTCACAAACACTTATACGCTGACGATACTGTCATATTTACTTCCAAACAGACAAGCTAACTTTGATGTTTGGTTGTTGAATTATTACTTAATAAAAGTTAAACCGATTTGATGTTTGGTTTAGACTGAGACCAAAGACCCTAAATCTTATCCTTTATTCTGAAAATGATACCAGGAGACCGCTCAAACATGGTGCACGTGGTTGGAAGCTCTAAAATGCTTGTAAAGGTTCCCCCCTTCAGAATAGACGAGATAATAAACAACAGTACAGATGAGCTAGGCTGCATGTTTGTGTGTATTAAAGATGTTTTTAAAATAAAGTTATTTACCTGAATTGGTCTCACTAAAAGTTCTTAAGTCTTAATGTTTGATTTTCTAATAGAGTTTGTCGTCTGTGTGGCTAAAATTTCATGTTTTTCTCGTGTTTTGTTACACGATTTGATTTGTACTGTGAGACCTCAAGTATAACATCCCTCAGACGAGAATTACCCATCAGCCCCTGCAAGTTTAGCTTAAACATTGGGGTTGTGTTTCTGGGACACGATTCATGTCTTGATGCAGAGAGTAAAATTCAATATACTGCTTTTCTTAACGCAAAGAGATCAAATAACAAACTTGACTTGTTGTATTTATATTGGTCACAGTCCCTAAAGCATCAAATATCATCACAGTACATTTACGCCTTCTGTAGAGATTACCTTTAATCCGCCTAAACGTAGAAGACTTTAATCTTTGCATCTGAAATATTTCTTCAAAGTTGACTGTTTAGGAGGCACCATTTTCCAACCTCTCTGACACAACTTCACTACCAACACAATACAATTTCCTCCAAACAGGTGACACAAAAACAACCATTATTCTGAAATTTGTGCTCAAAACAACAATTCCAACTACCCATGTTGGACAAAATACTCCATGTTTCCAAAATATAAAAGCAGAATTAAAAAAATACTCTGTCTACAACGATGCAAAGATGACAGGAGGGTTTAGTTGCAATGAGGTTCTGCATGCGAGGAGGCCCTGATGAATAGGCAACTTTGGAGGCAGCAGGGATGAGTAAATGTTGCTTCCAGCAGAGAGGGGGACTGCAGCTGACCTCAAAATTGTCATGTCTGCACACGAGGAGGGGAAACAATGAAAACATGCAGGAAACGCTGCGCTGTGGCTGCTCAGATACGTCACGTCTTGATGCATGTAGAAGGAAAAACATTGGAAATGGAGGAAGTGGATGTTAGATTGATCTGCTCTTTTCCTCCTCTGGTGTTTTGTGGGTTAGGCCGAATGTGCGAGCGGGGCTGCAGCAGGAGAATGACTTGCTGTTAATTGATTAATGGATCACTTGTAATGAAAGAAGAAATTACAAGCAGAGCTTCACCACAAATGATTGTGTTATCGAACCAGCAAGACTGCAGAGAGGACGTTTCTCTGAGAGGCAGAAAAGAACCGGAAAATGAACAAAAATGTTGATTTTTTTTTTCTGTTTTTGGATGAAATCAACATCGTCAAGCTGAAAGAAAAACCATCTTCTCCTTCAACACGAGCCTGAACAAGAGATTGTGTGTCTGTGTTTGTGTTATTTGCTAATAACAGCTTCAGGAGTCAGAAATAAGAGCATCATCCAAATGTCACAACACGCAGGGCCCTCAGACTCCTCTTTTCTCTCCACATGCCTGTTGACACTCTGAGTGTGCGCGTCCTGCACGTACACCGCCCACTAGCGGTCGCTATCGACCCCCTGCATGGATTCATTGCGACTTCATTTAACACACTTGTACGTGCAGGCTTCACGTGCACATGAGCAACAACGCACTCAACCCAAAGGCAACTTCTTCAAGATTCACCTGGATTCATGTTCTCCTCAAAGGAGGAGCGCTGATTTTCATGCACGTCCCAAACGGCAGAAAAAGCAATAAAAATGCAAATTTCAATTTGATCAAATTACACACACATCAGTATTTCCACTCATGAAGTCCACCTCATGCCTCTGCTTACCTGATAAACACTACCGTTTCCCACAAATAGATCCCCAGCGCGTTTAGTCGGCACATTTTTGCCAGTCTCATTTTGTTTTGGAGGAGGGGGGATAAGGTGTTCCTGAAGGGGAGGGGGGTCACACTCTTGAGAGGATGAAAAATCCCCCTCCAGAGAGAAAAAAGAAAAAATCCTTCAGTGGTAGGAGAGGAGGAGGAAGAGGAGGAGAGGGGATGGGGGGGTTGTGGTTATGGTTTATGACCTCCAAGGTGAGCCGGCAATGTTCCGATTCTTCCCCTCAGATTCCGGAGTCGCCGGTGCTGAGCCGCGGGATGCTCATGACCTCACCGGCCGTGAAATCATGCTCGTGTCCGCTCACACTCCCTCCGGCGAGAAATCCACTAAATCCAGCCCGAGATAGTGTTCAGGACCACGGACAGAGGCAGGCGGAGGTACCGGTGGGGCTGCGGGGGGAGAAAGCTCGTCCAGGTTTTGGCTCCGAGGGGGGACAGAGAGGGGAGGAGGAGGAGGATGGGGGTGCTCGAGAGGAGGTTAGTCGCTCACAGGCTGTTGTTAATTGACACACAATTACACCCTCTTAAGTCCAGTCTGCGCGATCCACAGCGCGTAAAGGGGGAATCAGACATATTCCTGTGAAAAGAGCTGTTGGATCAGCGGGCAGCTGCGTCTCACTGTCTCCAGAGGTCTTCGAAACTGTGCAGGAGCGTTAAATCCCCTAATTCCACACACTGAATAGTCCCACACAGAGGAGTGCGTCTCTCAGATCTGAAGGATGGCTCTCACATGCATCCCACAGGAAGCTGGAGCGCTGCTCTGGATCCGTGCGTATCGGCTGTTGCGGGAGTCCCGGAGCTGCTGCTGCTGCTGCTGCTGCTCAGAGAGGGGGATCTGCAGGTAGAAGTGGTCGGCCTCCTTTTCTTCTTCTCCCTGTCCTTCCTCTTCACCTCCTCCTGCTGCCTCTTCTTCCTCTCGTAGCTGTCTCCCAGGGGCGAGTAGTAGTAGAAGTAGTAGTAGTAGTAGTACTTGGCGCTGAGGCAGCACGGCTCAGCTACTCCCATTGTCTGGTGGTGGTCAAGTTGGAGACGCACCTGCGGCCGCCGCTGCTGCTGCTGCTGCTGCTGCTGCGCTCCGCATCCGCTCCCATCCGGGCACCGCGTCCGTCAAAGCAGAAAAAAAACCTGTATGTATCCCCTCCAGACAGGTGAGAGTGTTATAAGCACGTAGAGAGCTGCGTTTCGGACCGATAGGGACCCTCTTCCATGGTAGGAGAGCGGCAGCGACACTGGCCCCTGCCCCGGCGCACTCACACACACTCACGTACACACACACACGGACGGAGGTACAGTATGAACGGATCAGCCAGCCCCGGCGCGCTCCGACACTGTATTTTCTTGCTGCAGTCATTTAGCAAACTCCAAAAAACGCACCTCACAGCAGACAGACACGCCCACTCGGTGTTCTCATTGGTCAGCGAGGTCCTGAGAGCGCCTCTGATTGGCTGTTGGAGTTGTCACTAGCTGGGAATGAGCTCTGCCCCTCCTGCACGAATCCGCCTGAGGAGGAATCTGTGTAATAAGAACTTATTGATGAGTTTACACGGACCTTACAGACATATTGTAAGGAAGATAGATTATATAGATGCTAAAGGGAGGTGAAACTGCACTTATGAGAAATTAAATAGCTTTTTTTTCCCCCTCAGCATCGAGCTTTTCAAACCCTGAAGTGGCACAAAATGATGCATGTGCAAAAGTGATGAAAACTAAGTGGAAATAAAAAACAGAGGTGCTGAGATTTTAAAGTCGTTTTGCTCTTAGCATTAAAAGTGCAGTGATTTATCGCTTTAAACCCTCATCCGAATGAACTTAATCTCAAAGTTTTCCCTTAGATTTGTCCTCGAAGAGCCAGAATGTTTATTCTGAATGAGAAAAGTGAATAAAACTCCAAATATAAGCACTTTAAGATGAGTAAGTCTCATTATAGCACAAGTCTGGTGAGTTCATCAGTGGATGCTAAGCTAAAAATGGCTAATAAGAAACTCTCCATCTCTAAAAACAACAAAAACAGGATATAAACAGTCTGCAAACATGACAGGAGAAGTTGACCTGGTGTCTTTCTGGCACAAGTCTAGGGTAGGGCTGTACAATTTATCAATTTTAAACCGTGATCAGATTATTTGACTATGACAATGTCAAAAAAATTAAAATCATCAAAGGGATTTTCCTCTCTATCATGTCTCGCACCTCTAGGCCACCGTAGGCTCCCTGTTCCTGCAGTTCCCTCACACACCAGCGTAAACAAACATGGCGTTTGAAAAAGAAGGCGATAATTTCGTGGTTAGATAGGACAAGAGCGAGTCAGTCATGTGGAATTCGTACGACTTCACAGTTTCAGAAGAAGAACAAACCACTCCCCGCTGCAAAGTCTGTCTGAAGGTGGTATCAACCCGTCCACACAGGATTAAACGCTTAAGTTTTTTGTCGTATTGGCGTATTGTCGTATTTCATCCACACGGCAAAACAACGTTTCAGGTGACTGTAAACGGTACTTTTTGAAAACGGGTCAGAGAGTGAATAAATCTGTAAACAACGACCATTTAAAAAAAATAATAATTTTTTTTGGCCAAGTCATGCAGCCCTAGTCTGGGGCATTTGAAGCTCCTCCCAGATTTAAATTAACACCTATACCTCTTCATGATATAATCTAATTAATGTTTTGAAGTGTAGCAGATCAAGCCCTTCAGAGAGTTACTACTTTTTGCAGGTGGTGTTCATGGACTTTGGCTAAATGTGATTTTGATTCTTTCACATGAGACACAAACAGTGGAGTGAATCAGAAAGACTCGGGTTAAGATGTCCATGCTGTGTTGGTGAAAAAGGCTGAACCATACACAAATCAAGGATCAAATTATAGGCAAACACAACAACAACAAAACTTACCTTAAAAGTGCACAGATCCAAACTCCACAAAGGTCCAAAAATACAGAGCAGCCAAAGAGTAATCCACCAAGAATAAACAGATCAGACTCAATTACTGGTGCAGGTAAAAAAACTGGTGATAAAACACAGGTGAGACAAACTTCCCCTCTTACTTCTTCTTTCTCTTTAATGGTGGTTGACAAACAAACTCAGGGTGCAATACTGCCACCAGCAGGACGGGAGTGTGAATCAGGAGACAGAGAAATGATCTGAGTGATCCTGGTTCTCCAAACTTTGTCTTCTGAGTGCGACAGCCGGGAAGTGTGATACCTGCTCAGGTGAACATGCAGAGATTGGTCTGAATAAGTAATGTTTGTGTCCAATCTGGAATTGATTTCACTTCCTCAGCTTATGTGGCTCAAGTCTTTGCAGCACTATCTCTGGAAACGCTGCATCATTTGCATATTGATGGTTTGTAATTCCAAAGAGGATTACACAAACTAATCCGATAATTTTACAACAGGCTTTTACAATGCACTTATACTGCTTGCTAGAGTGCTCAGATCACTGAAATATTGATATGATATTCCAACAAGCTCTTCTTTTATATTTAAGGAGCACTTTCTACCTCTGCACACACACAAAAATACACAAAAAACACACACAAAAGCACACACAAACATCCTCCTCCTCAGGATCGTTTTGTCCAAAGTGTCCGCTGGAACGTGACTCTGATTCTGAGGCCCGCAGGCACACGAGGAATCACAAGGCTGAGTGATACTGGGACTGGAGAGCACACACTGACACACACACAATAACACACACTGACACACTCACACACACACACTCACAGGGGAAGAGAGGATGAGAGCTGCTGAATATGGAGATGATGTCTTCATTAGTGTAAAGGGAAGCTGCGTCTGAGCTCAGAGTAAATAATGAAAATGTTTCATGTCAGTCAAGTCCAGCAGAGTCCGAGTTTAAGAACGAAAAGACGACATCACAAACGTGTGACACCGACCGTTTTCAAACCTCTGTTGGGATAACAAAAAAGCAAACCAAAGAAAGAAGCATGATCGTCGTAATCTGCAGCATAACGAGAAATGATTTATTGATTTCATGGAGCAGCGGTTCTGAATTTGACAGTGAATGTTGTAGCTGCTGTCGGTTTAAGGAAGCATTACAGGATCCAGGATGGTTCCCAGGCACGACAAACCCTCCTCAGAGCCCTGCGGAGAAAGAAAAGGAGGGGGAGGAGGGCTGTACGAAGTGAGAAAGTAATGTTAGGAGGAGGAAAGGTCTGAATTCAAGAGGTTAGTTGAGGTTTGGTCCCGCCTCACTCTGAGTTTTCCCTTTTCTCTGTGTTTGTTCTGATAAACCTTTTTGTCTTTTATTATTTTCTCGAAGAAAATTAAAAAAGAAATAAAGCAGGTGATGCTGCTGTATCACCCTCTAAGCTTTCCTACTCTCCAAAGCCCAGTACACTCACCGAAAAACACTCTTCAACACAAATCAATCAATCAAATTTTATTTGTATAGCACCAATTCACAACATTCGTCATCCCAAGACGCTTTCCAAAGAAACAGAGCAGGTCTAGACCACGCTCATGGTTTAATAAATTATCAAGACCCAACCTAAGATGGGATTTGGCCCATCTCATCTAACATGAGTGACAGTGGAGAGGAAGAACTTCCTTTTAACAGGCAGAAACCCTGAGCAGGACCAGACTGATGCTGGACAGCCACCAAGATCCTGCTGGGTTGGGGAAGAATGTAGAGAGAAGAGGGGAGAGGGGAGAGGGCAGGGGGAGAGAGAGAGAACAAGATAGACGGAAGGAGAGAGAGTAGAGAACGAGGGTGAGAGAGAGAGAGACAGGGGACAGCAGCAACATTAAAACAACAGCAACAACAACAGCAGCTCATGTAATGGTGAAACAACATGAGTTCAGTTTACAGGGTTAGGATATAAGTAATTATGGACTATGTTAAGTTAATTTAATGTGATTACAGTCAGCAGGCCTAATAGTAGTTAACTCTAGTTTTATGTTATTAATATCAGTGAGGCTGATGTTCATGTCTGCAGCAACAGTCCAGAGGAATCCAAGAGAAGAAGGAGCTCAGGGCCTGAGGTGGACAATCATAGACGATGCAGCTGGAGTCAGGCAGGTCCGCAGCAGCCAACCGTCTGTAGCATCAGACCAGAGGAACCTAGGAGACTGGGGGGCTCAGAGACATACAGAGAGATCTGGTTAGTAATTAGATGGGAGAAAATGACTTCAATGTACAGGATAATGAAATAACTCATTATGGACTATCCATCCAGCCATTTTCTACCGTTTATTCCTGTTCCTGGGGTCGCGGGGGGGCTGGAGCCTATCCCAGCATCTTCAGGCAAAGGCAGGGGACGCAGGGTGGACATACAGAGACAAACAACCATCCACGCTCACATTCACACCTACGGGCAATTTCAAAGTGGCCAATTAACCTAACCCCACTTAGGCATGTTTTTGGGATGTGGGAGGAAACCGAAGTAAACCCACAGAGACACGGGGAGAACATGCAAACTCCACACAGAAACACCCTGACCCAGATTCGAACTCAGGACCTTCTTGCTGTGAGGCGACAGTGCTAACCACTACACCAATGTGCCGCCCTAATTATGGACTTTGTTAATTTAATTTAAGGTGATTAAAGCTGGCAGGTTCAATGGCGGTTCACTCTAGTTTTATTTTATTGATGTCAGTTAGGCTGACGTACGTGTCTGCAGCAACAGTCTGGTTCTGCTCAGGGTTTCTACCCACCAGAAGAAGACGCTCTCTCCTCGTTCATTTCACTTGAAACACGCTGCTTGATAAAGTGCTCTGCTCAAGGTAGGTTAAAGCTATTCTTCTCACACTTCAGGGCCTTTTTGAATGAAAGTATAAAACATGGACATGTTCTCTGTTGGATATCTTCAGAAAATCATGTTTGTGGTTCATCAGTCGGTTATTTGGTGTGTTGGTTGGTGAGATGGTTGGGTTAGTTTTTGATTGGTCAGATCATTGGTTTGGTTGTTGAGTTGATGGTTTGTTGACTGGGTCACTTGTTTGATTGGTTGGTTATGGGCTGGGTTAGCAGTTTAGTCAGCTAGTTAGTTGGTTTAGTTTGTTGTCTGGCTGCTGTGACAGTTTTTTGTTTCGTAGGTTACTTAGCTATTTATTTAGTTGCTGATTAGTTGCTTCATTGGTAGGTTTAATAATGAGTTTACTCTTTGGTTTGTTGCTTGAGCGTTTTTTCAATTTAAGTAAATAAAAATGGGAAAAAAAGAAGCTTCAGACTTATAAAAAAAAAGTCCAAATTAGTTTTGAAGTCGAACAGAAAACTCTTTTGGAAAACAGCCACAGAATGAGCACCAGAGCCACAGGAGCAAACATCGGAGAAAAAACTCATCAGTCTCTTCTTGATCCCCGTTTGCCCGAGCCTGACTCAGGCCGGTGTCCAAGAAGAAATACACCACAGAGGTGTTTTACAGTGTCCTCAAACAGGACCCTGAATCTATACATCAAGGTCCTCCCTGCAGAAACTTACTGGTTAGCTTAATCTGAGTTGGTGCAGTTGCATAAATGTAATCTTTATGCATGCAATGGATTCAAGTATGCATGAATAAAACCCTGTGCAGCTTTAAAAGTTTGAGTTTAACATGTTAAAGTTACAGACAGAACCAGACTGGCTCAGGGACAGACGTTTCCCTCCCATGATTCAGCAGCGAGTGGAAAGAAGAGGCGGCGTGATGAATATTTAAACCATTACACAGCCATTATAGCTCTTTATGTAAATGCAGAGTAAAGTGCTGTGGTGGTTATTTATAGTCACAGAAAGCTGTAATTGGCTTTGGTCGTTGTTTGGATTGGGCCAACTCATCCAGCTGACCCAGAGCTGATGTAGGGAAGGTGGGGTGGTATGGAGCGGCTGTGTGAGCGGAGGGTTGCAGGTTCAAACGCTCAAGTGAAAAAGCCGAATTCTGAAAAACTACGGTCACTTTCAGGGCAACCTGAACACATGGCTCAGTTTGTTATATTTACTGTGACGTCCAACTATTTGTGTAAACATTTCTGACAACAGTTAACTTTTCACTTTTCCCTTCAGACAACATAAACTCCAAAAAGGACTGGAGCAGTTGGCAGCCAAGTCTGAGGTCATTTCCCCTCCTGCAAAATAACGGTGGGCTACTCCTGATCGGGGACTGGGCTCCTCTTCAGGACAGGATTTTAAGTGCCTTTTAGTCTTGCAGGAGGCAAAGCTATCAGTTTACAAGTCCATCTATAATCCAAAACCTCACCTGTAACTCTTTAGCTTTTGGTGGAGATTGGAAGAATGAGATTTTAGACACAAGAGGATTAAATGAAGCGAAATCCCTCACAAGGTGGCTTAGAGACAGATGCTCAGACATCCAGAGGGGGCTCAGAGCCGGGCTGCTATCCTGCTGCATTGAGAGCTGCAAATGAATGTGGTCCAGGTATCTCAGTGGTGTCCTCTTGATGAGATTTTTGAGAGTATGTCCAACCATCTGACCTGGGTACACCTTATGAACATAAAGGACAAGATGGAAAACATCGCAGAGGGGACACGTCTACAGACAATGTTGAATCGACTGCGTTAAGTGAATGTGAGTCAGGTGAAATACGATCAGATGACTGAAATCAAAAAGATTAGCAGGCCTCTGATTGGAGTTTAACCATAACTCCAACCCATGAATGGACAGGTTTAGATCATTTAGTCCTCAAACTCTGCAGACCTCAAAACTCATAATAGTGCAAAGAGACGCTCCTGAAGTGAACAGACTCAACTGCTTATTTCAATATCTTTACGCCACATTTGATCAAACCTTACCAAGCAGTCTCGGTGTATCCTCTTGCATGCATATTTGGACTATATGCACAAACCAAAGAGCTGTGCTTCATTTAGCAGATTTATGTGACTAGATCTGGAATTTTGAGTAAATCTGGCTCATGAAACCTTTCTGTATCTCACAGTTTGGTCCTGTATGGTAAGTTCAGCCTGGTCTTTCTTCAGAGGTAACCACTCCTTCATACTTGCATTTATCCTGTTGTTGAGTTTGAGATGTGAGTTTGTGCAGCTGGATGTGCTCGGGGTTTGAGTTTACAGTGTGAGGATGTTTCACTGCAGTCAAAACTTTCTGCAAACTTTTCTCAATCAAGCGTCTGTCCTCGATTCTTTAAATGGATTCCGTTGTTTGTTGATTGTGTTGCTCAGACCGCGGGTGCAGGATGCCATCTGCCTGTGATTGTTCTTAATCTGATACTTTATCGATCTCCGTGGAGGCTTTTTGTTCTCGAGGAGCGGCTCTGCGAGAGCACACATCAATTACTGAGACATAAAGTCATGTTTCTGCGTCTGTTTGTTGGTGCAGAAATGTATGACGCCTCAGTTTGGGTTTATCTGTATGTTATTGTTTCTGAGATATGAGGTCTGAGATGCAAAAACACAAAGAAAGAAAGAGAGTGATAGAGACTTAATAAATAATCTTAATGTGGATTTTGACGGTATCTCTCAAAGCTGTTATGAATGTTAAAATGTTTGGATGCTTGTTGTAAAAGCTGAGTTATGTTGTGGGATCTTAAAAGTACTTCAGAGTCCTCACAGTAAGGGACAAAGTTTTGTTTAGACGTCTGTTTGGATATAGATGTTCTGGCATTAAGAGGAGATACAAACACAAGACAATAAAGTGCTGAAATGGCAACAAATGCAGGCGGCAGAACCAGCAGAAACTTCAGTGAAGATATGAAACTTCAGCTGCTTCACATCTTCAGTTCATGCCGTCATGAGTGAAAGAGAAGAGCAAAGAGAAGCAGTAATCACTCTTCTTGCATAACAAACAGAGGGAATACATTTGAATATATGGAGACTTCATCACTGGTGATATTCGTGGAAACCGGATGTATTGGATGAAGTTACACGCCCAGAAACACAAGTTTCTGCATGGCGGGTTTGCTCACAGCTGAAGGTATCGTCAGGCAGATCGACATTTGTTTGTTGGTATTTTGGGTTGACTGTCAAACTTAATATATTGTTTGTTTGATGCAAAAGGATTGTGTTTACTTTAGCCTTAAACATGGCCAAGAATATAGCTTCATTAGGACCAGTCGAGCCGCGTAATGTACAACCAGAACCAGTTCTAACTTTCAGAGCCAGTGCAGAGAGAGGGAAAAACTCCTGTCTGCTAGAAACTTCAACTTGGTGACAACTTGGAGTCCTGGCTTGAGAGCAGTTTGGTCCCTCAGACCTCAGTCCTGCAGCAGTCAAACAAGAACCAGACTAAATATAGCTTGGACCCGGATGACACCCCCCCTGACAAGCTTGCTGGCGAGTTAGTGGAAGGAAAACAAAAGTATGTGGAGTCTGTTAACACACACAGAGGAGTGCTGACAGTTTACAGCTGAGCCGTGCGATCAGCTCAGTGTCCAGGAGTTGTTATGGTCCACTAAGACCAGCAGTACCTGAAGAGTCTGACAGCAGCAGCAGCAGCACCAGAGACTGTCTGTACTTCTGTGTTTTTGTGTATTTACCCACATGCTGGTTTTTACTCCACTTTGCTGCCTGCTCAGTGGTCGGTGTCCTCTCCAAAAAAAAAAAAGAAGAGTTTCCTCTCTCAGTTTTCCGTTAAGTCGAGGACAGACTCGGAGCTAAGATGATGTTCAGCTGCAGACCTGCAGAACGGGTCAATAACCCCAGTCTTCTAATCACAGCAGCGTCTCAGTAACATTTATCTATTTCTAAAGGTCATCGTGTCCACTCTCAGTCTTCAGAGGAAGACTTGAGGAGAGGAGCATTCCTCATATCAGAGCAGATAATCGATGGCTGCTATAGGAAGTAGTTCAGTAAGAGTCGCTGTTACAGGAGGAGTGGGAGATATCTGGAATGAATCAGACATGCTGAGATGAAGCTACAGTATGAAGATGAAGCCCGTCGCCTAAACCGTGCTGGAAATAACGGAGATGATGTAAAACACGAATAGTATGTAAATTTACAGCTAAAAGAATAAGGTGAGGTTTTAACTGATGCTTCCATTAAAACTATTAAAACAATCCATGCAAAAGACACGCTCCATCGATGTGCCATATCGCATCTGCATGAATGTCCAAACCATAGAGTGTATATACTATGGACAACTTGGATCTGCCTTCCGTCATTATACCAATTTGAAGCGGAATTGCTCTCCATATATCCAGGATTTTCTCAACTTGCGCAACAGTTTTACACGTTCGACGGGTGAGTCCCTGTGATGACGCTCGGCTCAAACAGAGTATCCCCCGGTGAGCTACGCAATCTTCGTACTCCCATTGGCTGTATCAAGTGTCAATCATAGAAAACATGAACCCCCTAATAACTTTTGAAAACGGAGCTTCACAGAAAAAAGAGGACTTGAGCACAAACCAGTCTGACAGTAACTACATGTCAACATCACAACCAGGGGGGAGAAAAATTCATATTCTGTGTAATAAATTATAAAGTTTGTCCACAGCTCCATAGGGATTGCTGGAGGGGGCGGGATTTATGACCTATACTGCAGCCCGTCACCAGAGGGCGCTGTTCTCACGTTGGTTTCACCCAGCAAGGAGGCAGACGGCGTCCATTCTATATACAGTCTATGGTCCAAACACACAAATTAACGCATGAGTTGGATTTACTTTGTCATTTCAGTCTCTTTATATCAAACACGGCTGACACTGGCAACTTTGGGAGGATCTGCTGCATTCGCACAATTGAACAAATAATCCGATCTCCTCACTAGTGGAGTGTGTAGTTGCATGTGAATTTTGTGTTTATGCAGGTTTGTGCACATGCAAAATGAGCTAAAAACTTAAAGACTTTTTTTAACTTTCTGACTTTTAGTTATTTATGTTCTGTGCATTTGATGTTTACACCAGCTGTGATCAGATACGTAGAGGACAGGATAAGTCAAGTGTTTTGACCATAGAGGGCACCAAAATTGGCTAATAAAAGTTCCTCACTGGTGCTTTAATAGACATGTAAACAGAGGATATGGTGAGTTAACTCATCTTGACTCTTTAACTGATGACGTCTTAAATCTCCTTATTAATGCATTTTGTTTAGTTTGTTAGCCATGAGCCTTTCCTCAACAAATATGCAAAAAAACAAAAAAGAAACTCTGCAGCTGTGTCCATTTTGACCAGCAGGGACGTCCTCGATGCTGATAGCTGAGGACATGCAAAAAAACAAAAAACAAAACAAACAACGCCTGGATCTCCATATAAAAAAGCTGAGATGACAATGACTTTTATTCATATGTATGAGTTATTTATGTTGAGCCGATTAGGAAGGTCACATTGGCAAACTGAGAGATTTAAGAAGGAAACGGACAAAGAGACAGAAGAGAAAGAGCGGAGTAAAGACGGGCCGGAGGAGAGGCATGACAATGTGTTTTCTACTTCCTCTACAGAGCGTCTATGACCGTGAGGAGGAAGCTTCGAGAAACACCCGCAGTTTGATAAAACCGTGTTTTCTTGTCAGACAGGAGTAAGGCACGAGCCGCTCAGCTCCTCATTAGACGCTGGTGTTGTTTTTTCCTCCGCTCTTGTGTTTTTAAGACCCTCTCCCCATCGGCAGAGACAGTCTGAGCTGCTTTTCTCAGACAGTCTGCTCGGTTTTCTTTTCATTCTCTAATGAGACAGGCCTTCATCGCCGCTCTTGTAGCCAGTCATCTTCGAGTTATAAGGTAAATGTTTAAATGGAAACGGAAAGATAAACAGTGAACGAAGTTATTAACAGGCCCGCTTTAGACTTTTGAACACAGACTTTCTTCTTCAGAGGTGGCAGGATGAAGTTTCAGCCAGTGAGATAAGTCCCACTTGAATGTGGGGATGGTTTATTTTTGAGACATACTGATACCTTCTTTATGATTGGAAAACTAATTGATACTATTATCCAGTCTTCTCTGTTATTTGGGTGAAGAGGAGGATGGTCGCCCTGCAGCAGCAGACAGAGTTGACAAAGTTCATTCAAGCTCCGGACAGTCCAAGGTTCTGTATTTTGTCTTATTTTGATGCACAACGCTGATGTGTTTGGTCATGGAGGTTATCATGCAACAGATTTTGCATTTCACTCAATTGGACCTTTTTGCATGTGCAGAAATCATCGCCACAGAACTCTTAATACCTGCTAGCTGCTAATTTTATGAACCATCTGTTAACCGGCATGCGACATTGATTTGATTAACACGACATTTCGAAGCATTTAGCAACATCAGGATCATCCAGAAGGTAAAGTCCACCAACCTCTGGAGCTGAAGTAAATGTAGTCTTCACTTTAGAGTTTACAGGAAACACACATTATATCCTCTCCGGTTCAGCACAGCCTGCGGTGAATAAAGCGTGCAGGTACACAGAGTGCAGACACAGCACCGGAGGCTGCAGACATCGCAGGTATGCCTCAGACTTTAATGCAGGGTTGTGCAGGCTTGCATCATGACCAGTGTAGCTGCACAACCTCCCTAATGGATCACCAACTCTCTCTGCTCACTGCTGAGTTTAACTTTATCTCAAAGTTTCTCCTTGTTTTTGTCTGTTTCTCTTTCCTGAAGTCTGGGAACTCCGTTCGATAACTTTTAATGATGCAAATAACCTGCAACAAGTTCAAAACACCAGACTAAGGCCTACAAAGGTGACATACTTCATATTTTAGGGTAAGTCAATAACTATGACCCTGACTAACTGGATTCAAATCTGGAGCATTTTGGGTTCTACTTTGACTACACGAGAGAAAACTTGTTTCTCAGTCCAGACTCTCAGCAGACTAACCCCCATTTCCCACCACATCCGGAGCAGCTACGAAAAGGCCGTATCTGCCGATTGCAGCTGATCGTAACCATTCAAGTTAATGTGTCAATTTCGTTCGGCTGCGGATCGCCGGGCTCCACAGCTGATCACAAGAGCGCTATTTTTACCGGACGTCGGAGCATGATGAATAAATTCGGCACAGATTAACCCGTGCTGGAAAGGAAGTCGGGCACAGACACAAAATAAAAAATCCGGCTTCTTTTCAAAATAAAACACTGTGTTTCAGGCGGATCTTATTTCACACCATGCAAACGAGCGAGGACAAACAAGTGAAAGGTTTTTAGATGTCATTTCATCCCGATGACACCATGGATAAGGAGATGCTGATTTTAAAGGTCCTTCCTCCTCTGGAAGGACAAGATCTACTCTTTATATGGTTAGCCTATGTGACTGTCTTTATCGAGACAACTCGTTATCGTGCATTTGCACATGAATCCATGGGTTCTTGTAAGTCCTTGCGATTACCGCTGTCCGTAATCCACCACGAAATTTGCCTCACAAACAGATCTGGTAGTAATTGGTGGATGGCGAAAATCGGCGCCATTCCAAATCCGAGCCGTTCCAGATGCAGTGGAAATTCACGGTAAGCAGGTTTAAGTGCTGTACTTCAAAAAGTCTTCAGTAAAATGACTTTTTAAAAGCTGTTAGCCGTTAGCTTAGCGCTCTGGGCTGCTTTGAGTCTCATGAGGTGAAGCTGCTGACTGGTCTGAACTCCTGCTCTCCTTGATGCTCATCTGGCATCATCACATTGTAAATGTCCTCATATAATCTCCACACACACACACACACACACACACACACACACAGCATTATCCAACCTCAACCTTGAGTTATGGCATGGCCGCCACTGGCAATCACATTAAGAGGCACATTTCTTCATATTCACACAGGGGACCACATCGAGCAATCTGCTTAATTTAGCCAGACTGATGAATTGTACGGCCGCACTCTCTCTCTCTTCACTCTCAGTCTATCTCTCTCTACCCTCTCTCTCTCTTTCTCCATCACCAAACTTCTCCTTCCCCAGCTTTATCCCCCTGCCTCTCCCGTGTCCTTGAGGTGGACGGCTGGTTCTCGCTATGGCTGGCGGAAATGTCAGACAGACAGACAGAATAACCTGGAGTTACCTGCTTTCTGCAACCTGCAAACCATACAGGAGGCTGAAATGAAGCAATGAGCCCATTTAGCATTCAGCTGCTTAAGGGCTTACGAAGTGAGATGCAAGCAAACAAGTAGCCAACCAAGGTGAAAATAGCAGGTGTGTTTAACATTTCTCAAAAATAATGAGGAATTTTAAGGTCATGTTTTTCTTCAAATGCAGAAGACTCAAAAGATTCAATCTGCAGAGCTGAGAGCTAATGAACAATGAGATGTTTGTGTGGTGATTGTAGTCCTTCAAAGAGCTTCCATTTGCATCAACCTAATGACAAATATCTGTTTAAAGACTAGTGCCTTATCTCCGATTGTGATGTGAGAGCAAAAATAAGATAGAAGTCAACTTTCCCTGTCACTGCTAAAACGCTGAGCCAACATGTTTCACATTATAGACGCGGCATGACGGCATATCAGGCGATTCAATCAATCAGCTCAATTATTTCTCCATGACAGCTTCAGATCAGATTGAAAAGACTTCACTGAAAAAGACACGAGATATCAGATTAAAGTTTGTCTCGAGGAGCAGAAATCAAGTTTCTCTTACAGAAGCATGTTTGCAGAAGTTCCATGCTGCTCCTGCTGGGAGGAGTTTTATGAGGTTAACAGGTATCTTTCCTCAGGCCAGACTTTGGGAACATTTATGCTCTTGTTCTGGCACCACGCTGATCAGCATCACTGTGGTCTGGCAGCTCCCTCTGTTTTTTTCTGGATTCCCCCTCATGATGTTTCTCACACATGACCGTCTGATAGGATTTTACCAGTTTACATGGTGGCAGAAGTGGCACGCTCTGGATCCAGGTCTTGAAATGTTTGTTTTGTAAATGCAGTTTTTCGATAAAAGAATGGAGAGATGCTGAGAAGAAGTGGAAAACGCCATGACGCCTCTTATGGAGGTTGTTATGTTGATTGATGAACAAGTCAATATCTCTACGAGGATTTGATAATCAATTTTTTTTAAGAGTAATGCTAATCTGTCATCAGTTAATTCAGATCAGATAATTACAGTCAGAAGTTTTAGACAAAATTAGCCTCTTCTCCAAAGCTATAAAGAGATGCACTTCCTCATGTCAGGCACCGGGGGCGTAATCCATTTATTCATAGGTCATATTGTCAAACAAGGTCTTTATATTTCAGTGATCCTATTTTGTCACAATTACCCAAACTGTCCACAAATTATTTTCTTTGAGTCAAACCAACGAACTAGAAAAGTAGGTTATAATTCTTTAAGTTTGATCACATTGACAAGTCCCAAGATGCAATCAGGACGTACAGCCAGGAGAGTCTGACCGGCTGCTAATGATCAACGATAAAAGCTGAGCAGATGGAGTGAGAAACTTTGATACCAACTTTTACTGACTGCATCAAACAAACAGAGATCAAACAAATCTTATCCCAATGCATTTTCAAAATGACCAAACATCAGCTGGAAAAATAAACTTTTTCTACAATCAGCTCTACCAATGTTTCTGAACGGCTCCGTCTGCTCGCTGCAGAATTCATGTCATTGAAATGCTGAGAACGTCCTCTCCTGAGGTACAACAAGAACAGCAGCTACATGGTTGGTCAAAAACAAAATGTCCTCTGGAGGCGACAGAAAACAACGGAGGACAGAACAATGTGGTCCTGGTGTTTTAGACAGAACGGTCTGCAGTGAGGACCAGCAGGGACCAGAATTTAAAATGAAGGGTTTAGGTGTAACCGGCTGCCTTTCCCTGCCTCTGTGGTGTCACAGTATATGTTAGCTAGAGTGATGTGGGAGATAATGTGGCCAAAATTAAACAAAGACAGCTAACAGGCTGGCATATGGACAACTGATCTAATATCTCCTTGTGTGGTGATGTCTCACGTCTCAAAATACTTTAACTGTAAACGGTGGCAATACTCAAAAGACAAGTTATAGATAAAAAAAAAAAAACCTGTTTTAGCAGCTGGCTACACTGTGAGCTGAAAGGTGTACTGTCAAAGAGAACGACTGTCTAGTCCTGACATTAAAGCTCCTGTGAGGAACTTTTAGTTTATGTCAGTATTGGCGCCCCCATATGGACAAAGCAGTCTTTGCTTATCTCTACATGCTTAAGTAGAGACTTTTGACAACAAAACCTTCCCCCCTCACACTGATTTCAGGTATAACAAATCCAGTATTAAATCAACCACTGCCAAAAAAGCTTCATCTGGGAATTTTAAACAGAAACTTGAATAAAGTTGTTTGGATGTTGTTTTGGTCATATCTTAACAATCATTCAGAGGCCCCAAAGCATAACAAACTTAAATGTAATATTTTCTGGAAACCGGACCTGTAGTTTCCAGGACAAATGAAATCGAGATGAAAGAATGAGAAGAAAAAAATGTTAATTGGGGTCATGAGTGGGGTACATTGTATTCGATTTTTAACAAATCTTTTAGGATGCCTTCACTCTTGATGTGTGACAGCTGATCTTTGCATCTCTTATAAGTTAAACTCCAAAACAAAACTTCTCATTATCAAAACATCTTGGTTTAAGTAATGATTGTTTTTTTGCTTTGCAGAGGCTCCATACTATATTTTTCATGTATGTGACAAACATTACTGATAAGATGCCAATTCAGTTGTCATTTTCTGTTTATTTCTGCAGAATAAATTCAAAGAGCCGTCTGTTTTCAATGTTTTTTAGGCTGTAAAAGGTCTTATCTGTTACCATGCATACCAAAAAGAAATTTCACAGCTGTCATGCCTCCTGTAAGAAGCCGGGTTAGCAGTGTTGTAGGCTCAAAGCTGGAGTTGTTAAATTCAATAAATAACATGTGACCTTTACTTCTGTGTGCCACAGTCTTTCAAGGCTGCTGACCTTGTTTTAAATGTGTGTCTTCAGGAAGGAAAAAAACAACCTCTCTGATCTTCACCCTCGCTTTAGCTTAAAGGAAGAAAGGCGTCAGCACCGCAGCTCAGCAGGAAACCATCCGTTCATTACATCAGTCAAAACCACCATTGAGATTAATACCAACGGGGTCGTGCCGTTTTATTCCTGAGGAGAAAAATGCAGTTGTCAGTCGACCTAATTGCGCTCTCATGGTGCATGAGGGCCCGCTGAGTTATTGAGAGCTCTACCAGCAAAATCATGATCGACGAGCAGCAGGAGGGCCTGACATCGCACTTCACACGCCGGCTGCTCCATCAGGACGGAGGGAGGGGGGAGCAGAGAGGAACAGAGAGATGGAAGGATAGTGTCACATCAGAGAGACATGATCCACATGAGCGTGTCAATGCAAATGAAGTCAGATAAGTTCATTGTTTCTGATGCAATTTGCTTTGTTAGATTGCTTTGTTGTGCAGAGTTATTACACCTGAACGATCAGATCTGTGAGCATCTCTCCTCCTCTGCAGAGAAAAATGATAAAAAGGGACAGATATCATCTCCATCTCACACAAATCATGTTCAAAGCTGCTGCTTTTCCTTGTTTTTTTATTCATTTGTAGAGTACGACAGAGCTGGAAGTGTTACACAGGATATCAGGCTGAAAGATCAATATAAAATGGCGCCATTTTAATGAGTGAATGAGCTGCGGTTTCCTCGCACAGAAACAAAATTATGACCATTGTTATAAAATACTGCATGAACAAATGAGTGCATTTGCATATGAAGAAAGTTTGAATGTTTAGTGCTTCTGTGAGTGGATATTTAAGAAAAAGATGTTTGAAGCCTTTGGAATATCATGATATCAGAAAACCTGATCCAGCTGCAGGACTAACATCTGGGACCTCTAACACCTGTAAGTGAACACATCATGGAAATCCTGCAGACAACATGAATCCATGACCCAGACGGACCGGTAACATGACATCCAGACCAAATAAAGAAAAACAGGCGAGTTGTTTTCAGTGACTCAGTTTGATGATTTTTTTTTTTTTTTTACCCACAATTAGAGACTTGACCACAATCTGAGCTGAGTCAGAAACATCCAAACAGTCGGACTAATAAATGTGATTATTATTATTAGAGTGATTGAAAAGCTCATAACAACATGTAGATCTGTCCAAAGTCTGATTCTAGATGTCTTTACAAACACACTGATCCAACAGAAGCAGACAGAAATATCCATCGATCACATGAACACAAATATTCAGCAAACAGAGAAAGAAACAGATCATCTGAAGAGTTTTTGGGGACGACTGGAAAGACTTAAGACAGTTTCTGTTTCTAGAGTCTCAGACCTTCAACATCTGCACCAACTGAAGGTGATTTGAACAAACGATCATCTTGATGTTGTTGATATCAAACTTGAAGATTTTTCAAAATGAGAAATACAAACAAAGTTCTCCACAATCACTGTCCTTAAAGCTGCGACCAAATCAGCATCTTTAGAAAAGAATCAAAAAGCTGAAATGAAGAACTAAACCCAGAGTTTTTGGTGAGACTGATCCACAAACATTTACAAACCAGAACATTTCAAGAGTTCAAGGATCTCAGTCCATGATTTTGGTCTGATGGACTCAAAATTCTGCTTATTTCAGTTCAATAAACTCAACAGAGGCTTCATAAGGTAACAGTCCAGCATGTAGAGGTTCAGTGAATGTGGTCTTGACTCTGTGGAGGAGAGTCATGGTTTCAGAGACACTGTAGAAGGACAGAATACCTGCTCTGTGATCCAGGTACACTCCTACTCTGGAGGACGGAGGACCTGAGACATCAGTGTCGACTTTGTTGTGTATAAATTCATATTTGTCTGCAAAACAGTTTAACCTCCAAGATTTGTCATTGAATCCAAATCTACAATCATCTGAGTTCCCTGCTCTGCTTATAGTCTTGTATGCGACTGCTACCCTAACCCCTTTCCCTCTCCAGTCCACCTCCCAGTAACAACGTCCAGTCAGACTCTCTCTACTCAGGACCTGAGCCCAAACAGTGAATCTGTCTGGATGATCAGGATAAGACTGTAGTTGTTCTGTCAATGTTGCTCTTCTGTTTCCATCAGATAATAACAGTCGTCTGTTTGCTGTGTTTGGATCCAGTGTGATTCTTTTTGAGTATCTTAAGAAACCAGCTCTGGTCTTGGGTTCTGCTGGTTCTGGTGGTTCTGACAGTAAAACATCCACTTCAGTCACAGCCTGTGAGACGTTTGTCCACGTCTCTGTCAGAAGATCCTGGAGTTTCTCTCTGACCTCTGACACAGCTGCTGTCACCTCCTCAAAGTATCTCAGAGGACGGATGTTGATCCTGGATGAATCTGCAGGTTGACCCGGTTCTGACACTGAGGGGTAGCTGTGCAGAAACTGGTTGTGGTCCTCTGTGAGTGAGAGCTTCTGCAGATCAGCGTCTTTCCTCTTCAGCTCAGTGATCTCCTGCTCCAGTTTCTCCTGAAGCTCTTTGACTCGACTCACTTCACGTTCCTGCTGGGATCTGACCTGCTGCTCCACGTCAGAGCGGCGTTTCTCCATGAGACGGATCAGCTGGCTGAAGATCTTCTGGCTGTGGTCCACAGCTTTATCAGCAGAGCTGTTGATAGCCTCCACCTCCTGTTGGAGCAGCTTCACATCTTCTTCTCTGTCCTGGATTCTCTGCTGGATGTTTTCTCGACTCTCCTCCAGATCTTTCTGCCTCTCAGTCCTTTCTGCTGCAGCTGAGACTGTGTCGTGACCTTTGTGTTGGTCCACAGAGCAGAGATAACAGATAGACTGTTGATCAGTGCGGCAGAACATCTTCATCACCTCATCATGACGAGAGCAGATGTTCTCCTGGAGCGTCTTGGAGGGCTCCACCAGCTTGTGTTTAGCATAGGCAGGAGATTCATAATGAGACTGAAGGTGTTTTTCACAAAATGAGATCAAACAGACCAGACAGGACTTGACAGCTTTCAGTTTTCTCCCACTGCAGACGTCACAGGCCACATCTTGAGGTTGAGCATTAGAGGGATCATCAGGAGCAGCTTGGAGTCCGCTCTTCTTCAGTTCCTCCACTAAAACTGCTAACATGGTGTTTTTCATCAGGACAGGCCTCAGTGTGAAGGTCTGTCTGCACTGAGGACAGCTGTAGATCTTCTTCTCATCCTCAGTATCCCAGTAGGATTGAATACAGTTCATACAGAAACTGTGTCCACAGGTGACAGTCACCGGATCCTTCAGTAGATCCAAACAGATGGAACAAGAGAAAGACTCACGGTCCAGATGAACTCCTTTCTGCGCCATTTCAACACTCGCTGTCGACGACGACTGACTGACTGAGTTTTTTTTCCTGAGAAGTGAAACTAGTCTGAGCTCTGATCTCAACATGTGTGAGTCAGCAGGATCAGCTCAGCACACATTGGTTACACCCAACCTCAACTGTAGATCTGAAGGGGAGGGAACAAGGAAGTGAGTGTGCTGTGTGAGAGAGGAGGGAGGGGAAATCCAGTTTTTCTACATTCCAGGAAGAGGAGCGGCGATGTGAACTTTAGACTCTCAAACTCAAACAAACAGAAGTTATTAAAGCTGCAGTGGTCCTGAAGAGCAACTGCACCAACGTTTCACTAAATACATCAACAGTTTCTCCCCTCATTTAAACCTCATCGATCACAGAAACACTTGTAACTAGTGAAATATTTCTTTGTGTGTCTAATGAAAAAGTTTTGTATTTTGTTGCATGTTCTTGGGTGTCATGTAATATTTCTGAATCCTGTTAAATATTTTTGCAGTTTCTCATGTTGTTCACTGTCCCTCAGAAGGCAATTTTAACCTCCATTTGTCCGGAAGGGCATCCAGGTGGTGCTGTGTCCTGATTAATCCTTTAAGAGAAGAGCAGTTTTATAGAGAATTTTTCTTTTTTTGGAAACAGCAGCAAAATTTGAAAACACTGCAACGAGCGTTTTATTGATCTATTCAGAGTTTAGTGCATGTACAGTATTTGTTTGTATTCAGTCTGTTTTAAGATGCTGTCAAGTTGTGATCTGTTAAAGATATGAAGCTTTAAGTGCAGTTTAACTTCAAGTCAATCAGTACTAGGGGTGGGCCATATCATACTGTGTACCTGTGTACTTTTTTTGGTGATAAAAATTTGTTATGTTGCGTATGACGTTCCCTACTGCATACACAACAACATCAGAGAGTGAGAACAGCACAGCAGCGTCAACTTCGTCTTCAAATGAGGATCTAGTGCCAATAAAGGGAACTACCTCTGTGTTGTGGAGGTGGTTTGGCTAACACAGCTAATGAGTTTTACCACCTATAGCTAAAACACACGGCGGAATATCAGCAGGCTTTGAAGGCATGTGATGAGGACGTAAAAGCAGCTACTGGTGTTCAAAGTAAAAGTGAACAAACATCATTTTTGAGGCTATATAGCCCACCACTCCTCTGGAAACTTCGTTTTTAATGTAAAAATACATCATTATATATAAATGTGTACATCATTAGCATGAACAGCTCACAGCTCAGTAGACAACCTCTCAAACTATTTGAGCAAAGTTGAGCAAAATCTCAATGAATGAGTGAGTGGAGTATGAGTGGATGCTACAACCAGATGGACCTTAACTGTTAGCTAAATGTTGGTAAGTTCAGCAAGATAATTAAGCAAATTATGGGCCTGATTCCCACCTTGTGACAAAGTTCACAAAATCCAGATTTTCTTTGTTTTTCAAAATATTAATGTGTGGGTTTGACTGCCTTGTAGAGAAAGGACATCTGTGTAAAACTGGAAGAGACTGGGGAACAAATCTGCAACAATCAGTAATGGTCAAGCTTTTTTAAAAATGTAGAGAGCAAAGCTGTTGGTTACTCTCAGGTAAATTTAGCTTTTCTACACCATCTATCAGAGATTTCTGCTTGGTCAGCAGCATTGGTGCCTGTGCCAAAATCCACAACACTGTACTGGAGAAAATCAGGAGTAACAAAGACAGAGACTTCCTTTACCATGAAATCCACAGAAACCCTTCAGGAAGTCTATTTGGTAACAATCTACCGAACCACATTCATCCACCTCAGCACCACTGGAGTCAGTTAAGTGTAAGTATCCAAGTATGACCATTTCAATTTTGACAGTGTGTCCACAACGTTTGCAGAAATCTACATGACAAATTTCTAATTTGATTATATCTTATCAAACCTCCAATTGCACTTCAAAGACAGATGCATGAGCTCGTGGATTTATTATCAGTGCACCTTAACTTCAAGCTTGCACCACCGTTTGTCTTCACCTTTGGATCTGGCTTTGCATGCCCTTGTTTGCCCCATGGGTAACTACATTGGACACTTGCAGTGTGTGCAAAAATATGGCATGTTTGCTGCCTGGTACTTTTTAAAGCAAAGTGTTACTCTCAGGGGGTCCTTTGGAAAAAATCAAAGTATCTTGAGGCCAATATAACTTAATGACTGCCAGCCCACCTGATGTTACTCAGCAGGTCTTGTCAGTGTAACGAGCTGGCCCAGCTGGGCAGGAGACTGATTGACACATTTACAGACCAATCAGTATTTGACTCACGCTGTGTAAGGGTTGTTTTTTTCTGATGGTTAAACAAATTAGTGCTGCAAGCGTGGCATTTGCATTTTGGCTAGCTTATACCTGGACATGTCAGTGTTTTGTAGATCTTTGTTGGGACTTTGGACACAGAGCTTCAACCAGGACATGTGGTCACCCTTACTTTCCTTGCTAACCTTTCTGGAGATCAGTTATAACCTGGTTTAATGGCTGCTGTGGATTTGAGTTTCCAGCTTCGAGATCTCTGCAGCCTACAGGGACTGCTTGGAGGGCTGAGGGTCTTCCTGAGTCTTGGAGGAGAAATGTTTTTATTTTAACAGATCCTGTCAAACAACTCTCTGTATGCTCTCTACCCCATATGTGTTTACAAGGTTCAAGAGTCAAACTTGAACTTCCTGAATAATTGAACAGAGAGAGATTCAAATCCGAGACCCCACAGGAAAACCCACTGCCCTGCCAAGTGAGCCGAAACACCTGAGCGTCTGCGGCATGAATGTACAGGTGCGTTTATCTTTATGTCCTGCAGCGCTGCAGGGGTTTCACTTTTCTGCACTGACAGAGAGATGTATAGCTACTCCAGCGACTGCAAAGAGCTTGACAGCGAGTGTGTGATTTCATGCAGAGAGGAAGATCCAAGCGTACAAGCGTGTCAGATTCTGTGTGTTTATCTGTAAGCTGGTGTGAAGGTGGGTTTGCTGGATGTCAGGTGAGCTGCTTCTAAAATGAGGAAAACTTGTACACAGCAGAGAAAACATGAGTCGAGTCTACAGACGTGCCTGCGGCTCTCTGAGGTGGAAAGTTTTCTTTTTTTTGTTATATATATATGACATCTTTTCCAAAAGGATGGGAACACACTCCTTTTGCGATGTAAAATGTTTAACAAAATATACATTTGAAAAGCATTGTTTGCACTTTATTTTCATGCACTTAGCTCTGTTTATAATTAATCTTCAGAGAGTTTTGACACACTTTGAATAACATTGTTTTTTGTTCATAATTTAGGACAATCCTCCTTGTTCTTAAAGTCTACTGCTGCTTTTCTGTTTTGTTTTCAGAGTTGTATTGGAGCATTTAGGCAGGGCACCTTCCTATGGGCATGACATATGACATGAAAATAAACAGGTGGAATTGTGTTGTCATATTTTATAATGAATATTAAATGAAAATGTTCTTGAAATTGATTTAGACAACTTTGTCTAGGTCACATTTCAGATCCAAAACATTTTGGCATTTTTCATTATTCGTCATCTAAATGAGAGGACCTGGACTAAGTCTGAGCCCAGCTTCCAGGACTCCAAGTATTTGCAGTTATTGTCTTGGTCCAGAAAAAACACAGCACACTTTTAAGGGTCTAACAGGATCCTTGGCTGGATCTTGATTCCCTCTTAAAGACTTGAGTCCTTAAAGCGTGTAGCGCAGACACACGCTGCCAGGTACAAATATCATGAAAGTTTAAGGAAGCAGGCAGAGAGGTGCGCTGTAATCCCACCAGAGAGATGACAGATATCTCACACATAAACACACACACTTCTGCACACCAGCGCACACACTCAACACACATATCCTTCATAATACAGCCAAGCTTTTAGATACTTTAGCATGCACTTACAGTCAAGGCACTCAAACACACACTTATTTAAAGATATACACACACCAACAAATGCACCAACTGGTTCATGCAGACTCACAAATACACACAGTTTTTATTTACACGCACACACACAAAGATGTATTTTCACACACATAGATCATGTGGAGAAGGTAATTCCCTCAGCGTCCAGAGCCAGAACACAAGATGACCTCTAATTTAAAAATCCAGCTCACCATGTTAGACAGCATGAATAAAACATGAGGAAAGTCTGCTTGTATTATTACCAGGAGGAGGAGGACGCTGTTACATTTCCCTCAGGTGTTCAAGTGCAGGAAGGTGCAGGAGGAGAGGGAGAAAAAAACGCATACAGAGAAAAAAAAAAGGGGGAACATGTCGAGGCGGTTTGGTGGAAGACTGAGAAGCAGATGGTGACACTGTGTCGTAAATGTGTGGCTGTTTTCTTGTTTACAGAAACTTGGGGTGGAAGGTGAACCTACAGTTCAGATCAATCAGGAGGTAATTAAAGATTTGGAGATTTTGGGTGAATGGAGTTCTCATTTATTTTTATTTTTTAGTGATTGTTCTTCCTTACCTTGGTTGACACTTTCTCAAGTATGATACTCAACAAAAAAGATGCTCCCCAAAGACGGTCTGCGTATGACATCTACAAGTCCAGGTGTAGGGGGAAGAGCACATTTCTCCCTCTTTATCCTTTATCTGTTTGTGTCATTACCTTTGAATCATCGGGTACAGTTAGAGTCGCTAATACAGTCTTTTCTGGGAGTCCCTGAGCTCCATCATCCCGTAGGTTCCTCTGGATTTCTCCATCTCCCTCTCTAAACCCAGCTCAGTCTCGGCAGATAACTGTCCAACATCAGTCTGGTTCTGCTCGAGGTTTCTGCCTGTTAAAGGAAGAAGAGGAAGAAGAAGAAGGATGAAGTTTTTTGATCCCTCAAGGGAGATTCAAATTGCTGTGGGTTCCAAAGATCTTCTGAATCTTTCTGTCCTTCAGCGAAGACAGAGGAGCCATCCACCACCATTGGCCCTTTAGTCCATCAAGGTTTTATGAAGTGGATGATCCATACTCTTTACTTCTTACTCTCCACTGTAACTTTCTAAATGCTGCAAACTTTCACTCATGTGGTTGAAGATGGGATGGGAGAAGGTCTGATCTTACAGGACGGGGCTCCATCTTGTCCTATTTTTACATCAGCTCTCTGTAAACAGACACATCCATTGCATTTGATTAGCAAATCAAACAAAGTCAAAATTACTACAACTGATAATTTTTTTTATTGAAATTCAATGACAATCACTGGTTGAGAAATTACTTGTTTGACAGCCCTGATTTTAATCTGAAATCAATGATTTTTAAATCATTGCACATCAATAAATCATAAACACTGACGTATTGATGAGCAAATCCACAAGCAGTGTATGCAAAAATCAACCCCAGGAATATTACTGAACATTATTAAAAGCTTTTTTTTTTTGTAGATAGAAAATAATGACAAATGACAGAACAATGTGAACTGACCTTTGACCTTGTCAGTCACAGCGGCTGCCCGTGCACACGAACTTCTTGCCTCAGGGTTGCATGCAAAACCTGCTCACGTTTGCAAACACGGAAAGGGTCGATGTTCCTCACGGGCACTTTGTGTTTGAATGTACAGCAAACATCATATAGAGAGTGAATCACACGATAAAGAGAAAGAGTGTACAGCTCTGTTTGGATGATCTGATTTGGATCCGACCTGACTGAACCCCAGAAAGGCTGATGAGTTTTTTTTTTTTACTTTTTTTTTCCTGTTATGAGACCTACGGATGTTTGTTTGAGAATTAGAAATAAAGAGCAATAACTCAACATCCCAAATGATGTGCTTCCACTCGTCTCTGTGTTTCTTTCAACAGGCAGGCCAGGTTTTCTTCCTTCAGGCTCATCCAAAATAGCACAGCGAGGAGTTACATCAGATCCAGTGGACTCTGAAGCCTCAGTCCAGCCAGACTCTGCTGCTCTGTGTATCGCTGCACCTCAGTGAACAAACGCTTTGCAGTATCTCGCCTGATCATGCAGTCTGGCAAACAGAGTGCCTCTGGTCTGAGGAAAAGAAGGATGCATGAAGGGTGAATCTGTACGATGGCATAACCTTGTCTTAAAGGTGAATCTATGCTCCTCCATCGGATGTTGCATTGGTGTTGTAGATGTCTTTGTACTTTGTTCTTGAGAAATTGAGTTTACATCTCAAGTCGGAAAGTGTGCAACAAGATTGCAGAAAAACATGAACGGCAGACGGTTCTACCTGATTTAAAAACACTCAAACAAATTGGTTTCCAACAACTCTGTCCTGGTTTCCACCAGATGAAATAGCAAAACAATACACCGCACTTGCAACACTTACATGTCTACTCAATCTTAGCTGCTGCACAGTGGGCTCAGCTGATCTTAACTAAGAAAACCGGCTGCATAATGTCAGGCAGGGACATTGGACTCGACTGGGGTGGCCGGTGAAGCCAGATTAAAACAAGCAAATGCAAACAGTTGGTACTGCCTTAAGGACATTAAAGCCTGGCTTTCTTTTAACTTCCTCAGTCTAAATGAGAACAAGACTGAGGTAATGTTGTTTGGACCAAGTGGCGGCCACCCCCCAACATCGACCTAGGCTCCCTCTCACCCTACCTAAAGGAGGTCGTCACTAATCTGGGAGTTAAATTTGACCCGGATTTTAAATTTGAGAAGCAGATCAGCGGAGTGGTACAAAAAAGTTTTTATCAGCTACGTCAAATAGTGAAGGTGAAGCCCATTTTATCAAGACCTGACCTGGAAAAATTAATCCATGCTTTTATAACTACCCGTCTTGATTACTGCAACTCCTTGTACGTAGGGATCAGCCAGGCTTCCCTTGCCCGCCTGCAGCTTGTGCAGAACTCTGCTGCACGTCTCCTGACACAGACCCGCAGGCGTGAGCACATCACCCCCATCCTGGCATCCTTACACTGGCTCCCTGTTCAGTACAGAATACATTTTAAGCTTTTAGTATTTGTTTTTAAGGGCCTGAACAACCTTGCTCCACCCTATATTTCGGAGATGCTCCAGCCTTATCGCCCACCCCGACCCCTAAGATCAGCTGATCAGCTTTTACTGACGGTCCCCAGTACTAGGCTGAAGCTCAGAGGGGACAGAGCGTTTGCAGCTGCTGCCCCTAAGCTCTGGAATGAGTTGCCCTTGAAAATTAGACAGGCCTCCTCATTTCCTGTTTTTAAATCCCTTTTAAAAACGCACTTTTACTCATTGGCTTTTAGTACATTGTAGTGTTAATTTGTTTTTTATCATTTTAGCACTTGCTGTGAGCCTCCTTATTTATACACTTGTTTATTCTTTTGCATTACTGTATTTCTGCTTGCGTTATCTTGTTTTTTGATTGTTTTATTTGTTTTTATGTCACTGTACAGCACTTTGGCTACCCTTGTGGTTATTTTAAATGTGCTATACAAATAAAGTTGATTGATTGATTGATTGATTGAAGCCAGATTAAAACAAGCAAATGCAAACAGTTGGTACTGTCTGAAAGTAGCTCTGATGCAAACGCAGTTGACGACTAACTTCATGGGGCTGCTCCTGTCAGCTTGTGTTTTATGCTTACTAAGAAAAGTTTTGGTTGATCACAGAAGACATACATTTTTTTTAGGGGCCAGATCTGCAGCTTGTCGTGACTGATTTTTACAGTCGGTGGTGACATGCCTCCTTTCAGCAGTTATGTACCAAAACAATTGACAAACTGAATACTTCGTTTACGCCCCTTACAATGCATTTACACTATTTAACTTCTGAGCCAAAGCCTGCAAACTCTCGAGCATTTTAGGTCAGTTTCAGTCTGACAGGAGTGTTTACATGGCAGAGAAAAATCACATTATTCCAGTGTGTTAGTCCAACTATGAGAAGTTTGATTTCATGCAATAACTAACTTATTTAAACCTGACTTATGTGGAAAAGTGAGGGCAGGTTCTGAAAGTTTTTAAAGTCTGTGTGGGGGCGAAGGACTCTGAAGTAAAGTTTCAGCTCAGCTCCATGCAGACTGTCAGGTATGTGGACCAGGCAGTGACACATGGGCTACCAGGTGTCTGTTTGATTGACGTCTGCTCAGAAAACAATCCTGTCCAACGTCTGCCTGCCTCGCTCGGAGAAAGAAAACATAATGGAGGAGGAGAAATTGATCCCTGCTGTCTCCTGTTTTTCTCATTATCTGTGATGCATCTTTTTCTTGGGCGAGCAGTCGGATCTGAATCAGCATCAGAATGAAAGGAAGCAATACGACCTCAGCCAATCAACACTTATTATCCTGAGTCAAAAGGAGTGTCAGTGAACACAGAGCTTTCACGAAGCGCTGTCCTCTCCATGTGTGAATAAAAAGATCTGAAAGTGGTTGACTTCAATGTTAAGACTTTTCAGATTTACCTTTAAGGGACAGAACTTTGAAAACTCTTGAACTAACTCAGCAGAACTACAGCAGAGTGAGCACTTTTCTTCAGAGTCTGCTCTTTTACTGAACAAGAAACATGAGCTAAGGCCATGGTTGAACTATTCAAAGTGTGCCACGTCAAAGGGAATGGTGCTGACAGGATCTGATTGTTGGTGAGAGCGGTGACATTGCAGAAAGGACCCCTCAGAGAAAGGCCATTTGTGGCAGGGTAGAGTTCCACTTCTTTTGCAGTGAAAAATGAAACTCTACCCTGCCCCTGACTCAGGAGTTGCAGGTCTACTCATGCTTTGATTGGTTGCAAACAAACAAATCAGCTGATCAAGGCAGTTGTAGCCCAGCATCCCCTGTGTCCTGCAAGATAAAACAAAGTTTTTAGTCCATGTATTTTTGTGGCAGCTTTTTCGGTGTTTAGGAGGATCTTACCTGGGTCTCTTTCTGAAATGCTGTCAGACACTTGCGCATCTGTAGATTGGAGGAGGTTTGTCGGTCGGAGTTGCCCTGAAACACAACATTGCAGGATTCAAAGTTAGTCCTGTGGCTACATGCAGAGTCAATCAACTCGTGCACTTCTGAAGAAGCAAATGAAACAACTGAAGAACCTCACTTACCATTCAAGAGAGGAAATCTTCTGTTCATAGATCTGGATTACACGATTTCTGACAGTAGACGGGTTTGAAAGGATGGCAGGCCCTTCACTACAGATATGAGGTTGTGATTGATCTGGGGTCACTTCAGTTCATCTTCAACCAGCTGACAAATGCTGATGTCAGACAAACTGCAACCTCCAAGAGCCATCAATCTGCATACGCACAGCTGCTGACCTCAGGTTAAACGTGTGTGTGTGGCCTTGTTTTCTTTCATGCTCTCTTTCTCTAAAAAAAGCTGCTGTCAGTGTTGCAGGAGTGCTCCAAGACTTTTGGTTCATTTTAGGTCGATTCATTCAGTGAAGTAAACCTCCGCAGAGTCCTTGTTGATAAACATCACTCAGGGATCTTCATGCTGATTGGCTGATTTGGTCCGGTGTACGATTTCTTCAACTTTCACAAAGAAGCAAATGAAACGAAAAAAATCGTTCAACTTGAACTTGTTGTAAATCTGTGGCATCCGTGCACGTATTTTCGCCTGTGATTTACTCGGTTTACTTTACATGTAATTCACACGTCAATGATTTGATCATTTCCAGAGTCAGGAATAGATGAGCAGGGGTGCCGCCAGGGATTCTGGGCCCCACCACTTCACTCCTACAAATGTGCAGCTTGCTTCCCAGTCCTCACTCCAGTAGCTGTTGGTTGAACTCCCTGTCCACTCTTGACTCCTTACACCATCTTGAATTGTGCACGGCATTGCAGGTAATTTGTGGAAAGTGTCTAGTTTAGAAAAGGTCATTGCAGTTTCTTTTTAACTCTTCTTACAATGAGACAAACATGCCAAGCCTGAAGCATCCAAAGAGCTCCCGTGTTTGCAGATACATAGACCCAACGCTGCTGCTTCTACTCCCTATAACTCTTTCATATGTTCACATGTCACGATGTGCGGTTTACAGGTATTCAACCAGTGTAGAATAGTTCCTCCTTCACATGGGATGAGAGAATATTTTGCTGCATTAAAATTCATGCACCACCAAAAGTATGAAAAGCTCTGAGCACTCTGCTGTGAAACAAACCGAGATCAGGTGCAACAGAGTGCCTTCAGGTCAACTCGTGCCTCCAACAGATGATGCTTTCTGCACGTTTGTAGTTTGGAAATCAAAAGGTGGAGAGACACGCAAAAATTTGGTCGGAGCTCCAGGATGCAACACTGGGATAGCAAAGTTAAATATTCATGCCAAGTAGCCATTCTCTTTGTCTCTGTGATTTCTTTAGATTTTGGATTTGACTTTTCCAGACGATAGATGTAGATCATTTAGTGAGATCATTTAGATCATTTGCTTTTCTGCAGTTGTCTGAATACTTGTGGTTTTCAGGGTCAGACCTGTTTGTCTCTTAGTTTAGATAACTGCAATAAACAGCGTTAATCTCAGCAAACATCTGCAGAGGGGATTATCCGGCCCTGTAGTGGGTTCATCAACATCACCACAACATTAGGCTGCTGACTTCTGGGACCGTGTGCTCAAGACATGTGGAGTTTATAAAAGCAGAAATGATTCTTCCTCTGCTTCTTCTTCATCCTCAGCTCCTCATCCTGCCTGCGTCTCTCTCTCTCTCTCTTTCATTCAATCCCTGCCTCGCTCCATCGTCTCTCTGCTGTATTGTCCTATGAAAGTCAAAACAGCTGTATTCCCGCGGGGCAGAGAGAACAGATGTAGCCGGCGTGGAGGAAGAGGCCGAGATGAGCAACCGGAGCCCGACTGCCTTCTGCAAATTTGACTCTCAAACCCCCCCGATAAAAAATAAAAAAAGAAATGAGGAAACAGATAAAAACAAATCTGCATGTCACTTTGTGAGTCATCAGGACTGTAATGCCTCCTCTTCCTCATCTTCATGCTTCACAGGATATTTTCGACGTCTGAATATTTAGTTTCATATGTTAATTTTAGTCCACAGAGAGTCAGACTCCCTGAGGGGACTTGTTCTCTTTCTAATCCAGCAGTAAAGACTGTACGTTAAATCATCATCTTTAATGCGGGGATGTTAATATTTATTTTACTGGAGGCCGTTCTGTAAAGTATCATGTCTTTGTTGCTTTATTTTTTAATGAATGAAAGAGCAGGACTGTTTTTAATAATATATAAGACACCCACAAACACACTATACAATACTGCTGTGCAAAGCAGTTGTGTGCCTGTCGCATGTTATCGTTGGCAAACCCTCAGAATTTGCATAAATATGGATTATTAGTGGGAAAAAAGTGTTTATTTCAGGATATATTCATTAATTATTGTCATTTATCTTATTTGTGAACCGTTAAAAATATTATAATGACAGAAAAAACTTTTTAAAGTAGTTCCACCAGAATCATGATTTGGAGGTACTGCCGAATAATGTCTCAAAATAAATTAAATTAAAGCATAAATCATTATCCAAAATAAGATTGTTATTTTTATTTAGCTACATCATACAGCGCCAAATTTCGACTGAAGAGTTCAAGTAAAACAAAGAAATATCAATATGGCATTGAATCATAACCCCTCATTTGTGCAATACCTTTGTTAAATATCCTGCCCTGAATATTTTACATTTTAATACCAGAATTCACCATTCTAAAACAATTTATCCTCTAATCTGACTCGACACATCACTGCTTCATGACTCCTCACAACGGCATAAACGGCACTAATCCAAATTTTGACTGACCCACTTTTTATTATCTCTCAGAACTACATTAAGGATGGATGCCCTTCCAGTCAAATGAGCAAATCGTGTTTTTCACTGAATTTTAGAAATAATAAATAAAAATTAAATAAAAACATTTTTAAAATAAACTAAAATAAGAGCACTAAAATAGCTCAATAAAAGACGATCCTGACGTTAAAACGAGAAAGATATGAATGCTAAAAAACTCCAACAAAGTTAATGATATAAATTTAGTTGAAAGAAAGGCTAAAATGGTACAACTTCAGTTTCATTTAAAATCATTTAGATTAGGTGCAGCCCTAATATTTATTGTGATTACTGAAATGTTGGTGCAGTTGATCTTCAGGACGGCTGCAGCTTTAATAACTTCTGCTTGTTGGAGTTTGAAAGTCTAAAGTTCACAGAGACACTCCTCTTCCTGGATTGTAAAAAAATTGGATTTCCCCTCCCTCCTCTCTCAAACAGCACACGCCACTCTGCACACTCACTCCCTTGTTCCCTCCCCTTCAGATCTACAGTTGAGGTTGGGTGTAACCACTGTGTGCTGAACTGATCCTACTGACTCACACATGTTGTTGAGATCAGAGCTCAGACTAGTTTGACTTCTCAGGAAATAAAACTCAGTCAGTCGTCGTCGACAGCGAGTGTTGAAATGGCGCAGAAAGGAGTTCATCTGGACCGTGAGTCTTTCTCTTGTTCCATCTGTTTGGATCTTCTGAAGGATCCGGTGACTGCTGCCTGTGGACACAGCTTCTGCATGAGCTGTATTCAAACCTACTGGGATAAAGAGGATGAGAAGAAGATCTACAGCTGTCCTCAGTGCAGACAGACCTTCACGACGAGGCCTGTCCTGATGAAAAACACCATGTTAGCAGTTTTAGTGGAGGAACTGAAGAAGAGCGGACTCCAAGCTGCTCCTGATGATCCCTCTGATAATGGACCTGAAGATGTGGCCTGTGACATCTGCAGTGGGAGAAAACTGAAAGCTGTCAAGTCCTGTCTGGTCTGTTTGATCTCATTTTGTGAAAAACACCTCCAGCCTCATCATGAATCTCCTGCTTATGCTAAACACAAGCTGGTGGAGCCCTCCAAGAAGCTCCAGGAGAACATCTGCTCTCGTCATGATGAGGTGATGAAGATGTTCTGTCGCACTGATCAACAGTCTATCTGTTATCTCTGCTCTGTGGACCAACACAAAGGCCACGACACAGTCTCAGCTGCAGCAGAAAGGACTGAGAGGCAGAAAGATCTGGAGGAGACTCGAGAAAACATCCAGCAGAGAATCCAGGACAGAGAAGAAGATGTGAAGCTGCTCCAACAGGAGGTGGAGGCTATCAACGGCTCTGCTGATAAAGCTGTGGACCACAGCCAGAAGATCTTCAGCCAGCTGATCCGTCTGATGGAGAAACGCCGCTCTGAGGTGGAGCAGCAGGTCAGATCCCAGCAGGAACGTGAAGTGAGTCGAGTCAAAGAACTTCAGGAGAAACTGGAGCAGGAGATCACTGAGCTGAAGAGGAAAGACGCTGATCTGCAGAAGCTCTCGTTCATAGAGGACCACAACCAGATTCTGCACAGCTACCCCTCACTGTCAGAACCGGGTCAACCTGCAGACTCATCCAGAATTGACATCCGTCCTCTGAGATACTTTGAGGAGGTGACAGCAGCTGTGTCAGAGGTCAGAGAGAAACTCCAGGATCTTCTGACAGAGACGTGGACAAACGTCTCACAGGCAGTGACTAAAGTGGATGTTTTACTGTCAGAACCAGAACCCAAGACCAGAGCTGATTTCTTAAGATATTCACAAAGAATCACACTGGATCCAAACACAGTAAACAGAGAGCTGTTATTATCTGATGGAAACAGAAGAGCAACATCAACAAAACAACAGTCTTATCCTGATCATCCAGACAGATTCACTTTTTATCGTCAGGTCCTGAGTAGAGAGAGTCTGACTGGACGTTGTTACTGGGAGGTGGACTGGAGACAGATCGGGGTTGGTGTAGCAGTCGCATACAAGACTATCGGGAGAGTAGGGGACTCAGAGGATTGTAGATTTGGATACAATGACAAATCTTGGAGGTTAAACTGTTTTACATACAAATATGAATTTGTTCACAACAGTGTCTTCACTGATGTCTCAGGTCCTCAGTCCTCCAGAGTAGGAGTGTACCTGGATCACAGAGCGGGTATTCTGTCCTTCTACAGCGTCTCTGAAACCATGACTCTCCTCCACAGAGTCCAGACCACATTCACTGAACCTCTACATGCTGGACTGTTACCCTGCAGTTATGGAGGCTCTGCTGAGTTTATTGAACTGAAATAAAGAGAATTTTGAGTCCATCAGACCAAAATCATGGACTGAGATCCTTGAACTCTTGAAATGTTCTGGTTTGTAAATGTTTGTGGATCAGTCTCACCAAAAACTCTGGGTTTAGTTCTTCATTTCAGCTTTTTGATTCTTTTCTAAAGATGCTGATTTGGTCGCAGCTTTAAGGACAGTGATTGTGGAGAACTTTGATTGTTTGTATTTCTCATGTTGAAAAATCTTCATGAAGTTTGATATCAACAACATCAAGATGATGGTTTGTTCAAATCACCTTCAGTTGGTGCAGATGTTGAAGGTCTGAGACTTTAGAAAAAAGTGAGGTCAAAATCACAGAAAAAGGACGACCTTATTTCCTGTCCCAAATCCAAGCGTCTAAAGTCTTTCCATTCGTCCCCAAAAATTCTTCAGATGATCTGTTTCTTTCTCTGTTTGCTGAATATTTGTGTTCATGTGATCGATGGATATTTCTGTCTGCTTCTGTTGGATCAGTGTGTTTGTAAAGACATCTAGAATCAGACTTTGGACAGATCTACATGTTGTTATGAGCTTTTCAATCACTGTAATAATAATCACATTTATCAGTCAGACTGTTTTTATGTTTCAGACTTAGCACAGATTGTGGTCAAGTTTCTGATTGTGGGTGAAAAAAATTAAAATCATCAAACTGAGTCACTGAAATCACCTCGCCTGTTTGTCTTTATTGTGTCTGTTTCTGCTGGATGTCATGTTACCGGTCCATCTGTCATGGATCCATGTGGTCTGCAGCTTGACATCTGAAAACAGACTGAATACAAACACATAAACGCACTTAAAACAGGACAAAGCACCACCTGGATGCCCTTCAAGTCAAATGGAGGTTAAAAATTATCCTCTAAGGGACAGTGAACAACATGAGAAACTGCAGAAATATTTTACAGTATTCAGAAATTTTACATCAAGCCCAAGAACATGCAACTAAATACGAAAAACTGCCTCATTACACACACAGAAATATTACACTAGTTGCTAGTGTTTCTATGATTGATGAGGTTTATGAGGGGAATAAATGGTGAATAAATGTTGGTGCAGTTGATCTTCAGGACCGCTGCAGCTTTAATAACCTCTGCTTGTCGGAGTTCAAAGTCTAAAGTTCACATCGCCGCTCCTCTTCCTGGATTGTAAAATAACTGGATTTCCCCTCCCTCCTCTCTCAAACAGCACACGCCACTCTGCACACTCACTTCCTCTACAGTTTAAGGGAGGGTGTAACCGCTGTGTGCTGAGCTGATCCTGCTGACACACGTTGTGTTGAAATGGTTCACAAAGGAATTCACCTGGACCAAGAATCTTTCATCTCTTAATAACAGACTTTATTTGTATAGCACCTTTCAAGGACAGTTGTCACAAAGTGCTTCACAGTCATCAATTAAAAAGGATCGAACAACATGAATAAATGAACAAATAGTACACCAGCAGACTGTCCTGATCATACAAAAATGCGTCTTCAGCTGCTTTTTGAAAACATCCACAGTGTCCACAGTTCTCAGTTCAAGACGGAGACAGTTCCAAAGTTTAGGAGCAAACACCTCAAATGCAGTCTCCTTTGGTTCAGAGTCTGGTCTGAGAGAGAACCAGAAAACACTGAGAAGAGGACCTAATAGTCCTGCCGGAGTTCTTCAGCAGGTCTCTTAGAAGCTGGGAAGTCCAAACAAAGCTCTGAACATAATCACAAGTGATCTACATTGGATTTTGAATTGAGTAGGGAGCCAGAATGGGCATATGGTATGATATGGTATGGTATATGATATATGATATGAGCTTATGCAATCATATCATAATTTACTTTTTTATACCTCATGTACAGTATATCAATGTGTCGTAATGCATATCATATTGTATTGTGTAGTACAGTATCTGATTGTAGAGTATGAGTTAACATGCACTATCCTCCTTCATTCTGCATTTTAATGCATTCCACAGTTAAGAATGCATTGCCTCATACTGCATTGTATCTCAACATATCATCGATCATATCAATTTTTATATTTCATATTTTATCATGTCTGTTTTTAAATCATTTCATAATGTTTGTAATGTGTCGTATTATGATGTACAGAATTGTATTATATATTTTTGGGAAGTATACTGAATTTCCCTTTACTTTCCTTCCCACTCATTAACTGTTCATATATACGCAGTAAAAAAATTCACTAACTCCACAGAGTAACAGAGCACAGTTTAACTGGATTGGGGCTTCAGTTTTGTATTTTCTTTGTGTTGAAGATTGGGGGGTGAAAATATGTGCAACCTGTAAGAAACCAGGCAAATCTTCATCTGTGGACTAAAAGGAAAAGAAATGCAGAGAGTCTGTTTGGTCTCAGCTGTTAGTTTATCTTGGTTAAAATGACAAACAGCTCTGAGTCACTCTGGAGTGAATGATGTCAGCGTGGAGCAAACAGCCCCTTTGTGTGCATCTGTGCATGTGTGTGTATCAGCGCTTGAACAAAACTATGCATGTGTGTTTGCTCCTAAAGATTCTGACAGACTGTGCATGTGTGTGTTTGAATGTGTGTTTGTGTGTGTCTAATTATAGTGAGTGCTTTGTGGTGCATCTCAGTGTGATCAGTCCTCACCGAGTCTGACGTTCACATCAATAGGAGCATGACGATGATGGATTCCCCTCCACGGCACTGCCAAAACACACTCACACACACACTACTCATGCACTTAACTAACACACTGCGAACGTGTCCATTCACTACCCCTCATCCTGCATCTCTAAGACTCTCACTCGCCCACTTTCTCCCAAACGTTTTGTCTTCGCACACGTCATGGAGACACATCCAACAGTTACTCCCACCTGTCTCACTCACACGCAGTCACGAACGACTTCAACGGCATCATCTTTAGTGTAACTCGTTTTTGTTGAACAAAGGATGAATGGTGTTTGCTGAAGAGAACTGCAGTCATACGACACAAATGCACACACACACCCTGCAACACACACCGTGTTTTCAGTAGCAAGAGCTATGTCACAAGCCCATGCTCCACCCCCTGAGCCCCAATTTGCAGGCCAGATCCTGAGAAGTAGAGAGGATAATCGCGGAACAAGCGTGTGGGTTAGCTGATTGCAATGCTTGCAAGAAAGCTAGTTATGATATTAACTTTCGATATGCCCCAAAAGACATTAGCGTCCTTCTATTGTACCTGCCACTTCTTCTGCACCAGCAATGTTAGGCTACAAGCTAACGTGAAGAGAAGTGAGCAGAGCCACGCTGTCTCCGCCCACGACTCAGAGGTGAATTGATAATGATCTACTGGAGCTCTGCAGAAGAAACATTCATGAAAATGACACAAGTAACGAGATTTTAGCTAAACTTCATAATCAAAATTTAAAGACCACTGAGAACACTTGGGTCCTGGACTGGGTCTTTTAGAGGAAATGACTTTGAGCCTATGCTGTGACTTCCACTATAGAGTCATGTCTGTTTTTAATGTAGCGCCACCTGAAGGTCTTAAGTCAAAGTCATTCACTATTATCTATCAGCTTTTTTGACGAAAATAAAAAGATCCTCAAAGGCTTTGCCACTTTACTCAAACATTCAAACAGTTGACTCCTGCAGTCTCTCACAAAGTCTGATAATACTCGGGCGCATAAACAAATCATTGAGTAAGAAAAAGGAAGGTTAGAAAATAACTTTTTAAATTAGGAAGTATTTTGACTGAAATGTCAAACTCGTCACTCACCACGTCTTGCACTTAAACCAGCAGTAAGTCAGCCCCCAGTTTTGCAGCCCCAAAGAGAAAAGTAATGAAGTGAAAGAGTTTGCTCTGTCAGCTGAGGCTTGTTTGACTTCTTATCACTGACACATACTTATAACACAGTCTGAAGGATGTCCTGTGTTTTACTTTGTTAATGAACAGTAAGATGAGTACACTGTGTCTAATGGCTGTTATCTCACAGTCGCACTCGTAGTTGTTCTTCAGTGAAGAGGACAACCAGGCAGTTTGTTCAAGTGAATTATTTAATCCTCTTTGAGTATTAAATACTGTTGTCAGGGGCTGTAGTGTCCCATATCTGCTTTGTTTTTCAAATATGAACAAGGACTCCTGTGTGCAAAGCTTTTTGGATTTATAATTAAATAAAACACACACACACACACACACCAGCAGAAACTGTGAGTAAACCTGTTATGTAATTCTTGCTGTCTGCTCGGCTTAAGCGGAGGAAGATTTTGACTAATCGCCATATGTTGCTCAGAGAAAGATGGAGCTTGTTTGTAGAGAACTGAAGGATGTGGCCCCTTCCAGGGAAAAGTAGTAAAACATCTCCTGACCTGAAAACACTGACTCTCTGATTGTGCTTTTTAACAGTAAAGATGTAACACTGTGTGATTTCCATTGAAGAGCGGCTCGAGCGGTGATGCTGATGACAGATGACGGATGATGTGGACTCTTATTAAATGTCCCTGTTGAGGTGCCCTTGAGCAGCGAGTTCAGCCTCTGGGGTCTCGTGAAACATACTGTATGAAGCATTTTTAAGTCCATCATAACATGAGAACGAGTCCACGTCAGATAGTTCAGCTGCAGCGACAGAGATTACCTTGAACGCAACAAAGAGCCTCATCTGTGAGTTCATGCGAGCGAGGTGCATCAGTGAGGAAATCTATTTCTGTTTACGGTCGCAGCGAAGGCATCAAACCGTCCCAGAATGATCCGCAATGACAGTCCAAAGAGTACGAGAGGAACTCGACTCAGCTGAAGGTCATTTTGATCAAAATACAGCAAGGTTAAAGCCTCATGTTTACATATTATCCACTAAATTTATGAGAACGACTCACCGAGAATTTTTATTCAAAGCTCCTGTGAGGAACTTGGCGCTGGTGTCCAACGATCTCTCTCTTTCCATGCTTAAGTGTTGTTTCTGACGTAAATCTTACCCTGCTGAATGTAGCATTCGTTATGAATATTTAATGCAGCGAATAATGAAAAAGTGCAGTTTTTTCTGGTGCTTAGCTAACACCTACTCATAATATTGATATAAGGTGCCTTTGGTTTGTCTCTGATGATCCTGTCTGTTTTATTATACTGTTAAAAGTCTTTGTTATGCATTTCTCAGGGTTTTTAGTGTATTTTGATGTGCTGTTTTGGATTTAAAGTCTTTAAAAATACTTGTAAAAACATCTTCCTCATATTACTTGTGTTTCAAAATGCACATGCAGGTCAAACACTGCTTATCCAAATCTACATAAATGGGCAAATGTTGTTTGACATCAACACAGAGCCACAACAGAAGTACATAATGAACAGATGTGGCTACAATGCCTACTTTTATTCTTTGGGATACAAACTCTCAAGTATATGTCATTTTTCCTTATAGACCAATTATGAGCGCTAGCACTTTAAAGGAAATACTGTCAGTTGGAGCAGGAGTTATGAACCTGATTTGGGTCTTCTACTTTGTGTTATTGGTTTCATAATGTCCCAAATGTTTTCAGTGGGTGACATGTTTAGCACCTGGACTCTTCTACTACTATTTTATGTTTTTTGCATGAACATACCGTGATGTATCAGGGAAATAACACGTCTCTAAGACTCAAAGGAAGAGCAGTGAGATGCTAAAGCTGACCTCAGAGAAAGAAATGCATGAAAAAAAGGAGGGAAAGTTAACTTGCTGTGAGTAGAGTATAATACCACAGACATGAGCTGGAATCCCTGACCTTCTTAGTTAGCTTTAAATGCAAGGCGTGTAACAATAGTCCCTCTGAAACCTCAATGGCATATTCATAAGATGTTGCGGTTGGAAAAACTGGTCATGCATGAAACTGGAGCGAAGAGGAAACACCACAAACCACAGGAGAGACTCCGAGCTTCAGCTGAGGAGATACTGCTTGTAATACTCCCAGAATACATGCTGTACTTTAATGCTTCAGCACATTTTGACTTGTCAATTAATTAAATAAAAGGTCAGTCTATATGTTTATTAGCACCAAATACACCTTCACTTTAAGGTAGGCGGGGCGATTTGGAGCTTCTTGGCAGCAGATGCACATTGAGCTAAAAATCAAAGACGGGATTTAAGGTTCATATCTGAGACGATATCAAATACAGCATTTACAAACCAACACTTTAACCTGTACTCTAAAATCTAACTCGTCTCACATTAAATAAAGTCCTTTTTCAACTGGGCCACCCACGCCGCTTTCCCACCCCTCATTCCTTTATGGTCACGGTACTGAGCATCCCCCCACGTCAGCATTAGCTCTGTCAATGGAGCCATTGCATCCCTCAGTGTTGGATCTCTGAAATGTGCCTCCTCATTTGTTTCCACACAGCGAGTGATCGACAGAATGACGCTGCAGAGTTGCTGCGCTCGGAGCTGCCAAATGAGGACGCACCCCGGGAACACAGTGACATCTGCTGCGTTGTAAAATGCTGTTATTGCTCTCTTTTTACGGCGCTGGTTTTGCTTTTCAGAGCACATAAAAGCCAGGGATAGGAGGCTGACAGCATCAAGGAGAGGAAGGAGAGAGAAATGATAGCACACAAGGCCATTTTGTTGAAAATCCCTCAGAACGACTTAGTCACAACACCTCCTCCAAGGGATTTCACTTCATTCCCCCTTTAAGTATCCCGGCTGAAAGAGGCCTTGCAGATGCAATTCTGCACTCAGCATTTTTATTTTTTCTCCTGCTCTACTTCCATCTGACACAGCTGGCAACAGGAGAAACCACGGTAACATCCTCTCTCACAGAGACTGTCCTGAATCATCTCTGCAGGCTGCACTTATGAGATGGTTTGAACCATTTCAGCCAAACTGAACTGTAATTTCTGTGAAAACAGTACGAACTGAATTCACATACATACATTCATAACAGTGAAAGAGCTCTAAAGACTACTTTTCCCTCCTTCCTTCTTTGATAATTGCACTTTTGGAAACCTTCACACGCCCCAAAACTAACTAAACCTCCCTGTAGCACAAGGCTTGGCCATATAATTTGATGTTTAATAGGTTTCAATCAAGCACTGCCTCAACAGCGCCCCCTAAACACTCCAAATAGCAGCCCCTCCATTTGGTTCAGTCTACACACTTGAAACTCCCTGGTAACATTTTTAATGTTAGGACCTACAAAACGTCTTCTGGGAGCCATCTGTAACGTCACACGTACACAACTGGGTGATTTGAAAGATGGTATATTATATAAAAAATTATAAACATTAAATCACAGACCCGTCCTACCTAAGCCGGACAACCACACCCTGAAAAAAATAGAATTAAATAACTTTAAAAAATGGTGTCCTCCTTTAGAGATTTCTTATGAAAATAAACATGATTCAATGTTCCATGAGTACTGTCCCTTTAAGAAAAGGAGCTAAGGTCTCTTGTGTATGTAGTCCTTGTGATGTCTGTGTTCAATTACCTGGTAGATTTTTTTGAGTGTCAGTCTTATCTGTGTGTTAATGAGGAGGGGGAATCGATGATGCTCTCTTCTGCAGATGGATCCTGCAGCTGGCCACACCACGACGTCGGTTCCTCCACAGTCCACTTACAATCTGGTTCACCACTCGACAACAAGTTCAGACCCTGAACAATTCATTCTGTCAAAAAATAAAAAAATCAATCCGTGCACACAGTGGAGAATGCATTAAGTCAAAAATATTCCTCTTTATTGATTTCCTTAACTCATTACTATCATCAAACTTTCAACTTTCAAACCAATCATGTACTCTTGTTCTGCAATATTAATTTGACACAAATGGTATCATAGAACATATGAGAAATCCTCTACTTGTGCTTTTAAAGATGTTGAACCCTTTTGAGGATTTGAACCTATTAAATGATATGATCCATTTATATTTAAAATTTATAAACACATATGATAAAGGCAATTACTCTCTCAATGAACTTTCAGTCAAATTCAAGTATTGTGCACTTCTGAAGGTGTAAAACACTATCACTGCTCTACTCACAATGTTACAACAGTATCTACATTCACCAAAGTAGCAGTAATACAGAAGCAGCAGCTAACTGTTAGCTTATGATAGCGGTTAGCTCGACGCTAACGCGATTAGCGATCTTTTCTAACCCGTTACAGCTCAGATTGATCAGTATTTGTGTCTCCGAAGTATCAGGCGCTTGGTAACAGTGTTACAGCTCCGATTGGTATTTGAGAAACAGCAGTAAATCACTCTAAGGAATCAGTGGGGTGGTTAGCGTAGCATTCATATAGCTGTTAGCATTTCTTACCGGAGCTAAAGCCCGCGACAGACGCGCCTCGTTTAACTTCCACCTTCACAGAGTTTCACCTTCACAACCAAACAACATATTAACTCTGGTATGACAGGGTTTTGGGGGAATTTTTAGCTCTAAGAGTGTATTTCCACACCGGGAGTCCTCGGTAGGCGATTGTGTGCTCTCTCAGGGTAATGGTAAGTAACGGCTGTGAGCTTGTCTTACGCCTGATGGTCAGACACAGATACACTAATAGATATGTATGTAAACGCTAGATGGCTTTTGCACGCTGTTTGCCACGCATGGCGGCCATTTTGCTACGGGACGCTCTCCCACTCATTCCATTACAGTCCGCGGTGCATGAAGCGTTTAAATAACCATAGATTGATTAATTTTGAACCAATATTCGAACGGTTTCGTTTGTAACAAACCTCAGAATTTTAATTAATATCCTGCATACTCAAAAATATTTTTAACCATATCTTATTTTACACAAGATTCAATCATCTCTGGTAGGAACTTCTTGGTTGTCCCAGATTTTTAAGAATCTACAATTCATAAGTTGTCAAAAAAGTTCTTCCATTTTACTGAGGACGGCTTTCAGAGTAAACCACGAGTTTGTTTTCCTGGTCTCACCAATGAGCTGTGGTGGACATGAATACAGATATCTTTGTCTGGCAACCACACAATGTTTGACAATGTCTCTATTGCAGAACTGGCTCTCATTTGGTGATGGAGTTAAAATGCTAATAAGGAAAACTACATTTGCTGCCATGGCAACACCATCATAATTTGGCCCCTGACTCAGGCAGCAGTTGGGTGATTAAACTTCCAACAGTTTTGTTTCTCGGTCTCTTCCTGTTTTATGTCCATCTGCTGCCGTCGCCGTAGAAACAACAGTCCATGAACAAACACACGCACACACTCAGGGAGGCACTGTTGGTGTTGCTACGGTTCATGCTGTGACAAGAAACCACAAGAGAGATCCAGAAGAGAAAAAATTAAATGGATAAAGGAATGGAAACGGCAGAAACAAGACAGTAGAGACAAAAAGAGAGAAGACATGGTGGGTTTAATTGTGTCAACCTTTCTCCTCAAAGCAGGGACAGATAAAGTCATCAGTGGTTGAGTTGGTTGTCTCTCAATCATGAGGTCAGGAGTTTGATCAGAGTCCCTGCTGTCAAAAGTGTCCACTGTCTTCTGGTGAGAAGAGCTGTGACTGTCCTTCACATCCAAAACATGAGACGTGAAACAGACTTTCCAGCATCTAAGTCCGCTCGTCTTCTAGCATTGTCCAAATCCAATTGTTAAGAGGTGTTACACAAAAGCCAAAATCACATATCAGACGTCATAATCCTTAACAGTGTTGGCTGAAAATTTTGCAGATGAGCAGATGTCATGTTGTATGTTTAGATGCTATCCTTTGTGATAAAGATCCATACTGAACGCTGAAAGGGATTTTGTTGCAAAACAAACCAATCTCTGCTCAAGATATCGATCAAACCCAGACTTTGGACACCCACACTGCAGCCTGGTAACTGTTAATGCTTTTAACCTACAGTTACGGTTGGGTTGTAGCCTGAAACACGGACGGTATGATACGCTTTAAATTCTCTAAATTAGGTCAATCAAGTACAAGAAGACTTGTTTAGAGACAGGAACTAGAGGAAAGTTAACAAAGGTCACTGTAACATATGGCAAGTAAGAACAGTAGGCCTGTAGTGTATTTATAATCATGATGGCACCGCTGCAGGAGCATCTGACGCACATGTCGACTTCCTGGAGTGAACCTGTGTCTGCAGACCATGTGATACAGACCATTAATTCACAGAAATATATTTTTCAAAATGCAATAACTGCTGTCATATGAGGCGATTATTTCGGGGAGCTTGAAAGTTCGTTAAATCTGGTAAAAAAAGAATTCAGGGGATAAAGAGTTAAATATCGAGAGAGTACAGGGACCAGATTTTTGTTGGTCACACGCACTTTTCTGGTCACCATTTTTGCGCCTAGCCACACTGTCTTTGAAGACTAATGCACCCACTTGAGCTGGCGTGGGCAGAAGTTCAGACCACACGGATGCTAGGTTTGACAATGACACTTGGCCTGAACACCATGACACTTTCACCGTCTTTTGTTATAGCTGCAGATGAAGATTCACAGTGGACCAACCTTATTTCTCCTTCACACCAACACACTCCATTTATACCGGAGCTCAGACGAGCAGTCGTCACCTGCTCCCTGTACTAATCCTCTCTCTCCTCCACGCAGGGAAATTAAAGTATTGATTTATTTTTCCTCTGACGCTGGATGAGACACCTCTCTTATTGATTCTGCGAAAATATGAAACAGTCACTTTAAAATCCTCCCTCAAACAACCAAAACTTTCATCTTCACCTCCCCTTTTTAATTATTAGAGCTTTAAAGGGAGACATCTATTAGGAATAATGGCTCATACGTGAATCTTTATCATCAGTGCACTTAATGAACTAAGTGTCTCTAATATTTTATGCGGCTGTGAATCATCTTTAGCGTCACAGTTTTTAAAGAAAGACCTTCCTATTTTATATCCTTACAGATTCATTAAAAGAAATCAATAAAGTGATAATAGCTTCTGCATGGACTCAACTTATCAGTGTCAAAAAAAGTGTTTCTCACATCCTGAACTTTGTCAAAGTTCTGCACACACATACACTCACATGTGCACAAACACCTGAAAACAGAGGGAGCGGCTTGTCAACAGCCTAGGTGAGGACTCTCTCTGCTTGTATGTGGGAGCTCAAACCCGGGCTCCTGCTGCGCATGAAGACTAATATGTGAGTGGTTGCCTCAGAGTGTTAATGTAACCTTGTTCAGGGTGATAGTTGGCTGATGATTTGGCTCGGGTTGAAGGCGAGGCTCTGCAAGGCGCAGGCGCCGCGCTGCTTCAGCCCTGCGGGGGGAAGGAGCAGGAAGCGCGTATTGAGATGGTGCTTTTGGCTGCTGACCAGTTCCCCTTCAAACACACACACACGGGGACACACACAAACACACTCTTCCACACAGACTGGCGCCCACACACAAAGCGCCATAGGTGGCT